TTGGTATCAATTCCTGCAACAAATATGATTTATCATACCTTAAACCATAGAGTTTACACATAACTAATCCAAAAATAAATATATACATTTTACATATCTAAAATTAATGCTAAGCCTTCACTATCCTCATGGTTTAGATTAACCATCAGTTTGGTTAAAAACCATTTCTATGATGTATTGTTTTCTACCTCAACTACTGCCTAATCAATTAAAAACATCTGATTATTTACATCTCTGCCTATAACTATTAATAGCTCTTCCTTACATATGGTTTCAGGAAGCATCCATCAACACATATTATAGGTCTACATCCATCTTTCCATCATTCTTTAATAACTCTTAAATATATATACATTCTAAAAAATATAGACCTCCCTTCATCTTCTTTATAGACTTATATTGCAACCTACTGCCAAGATTATTATCCATCAACTTTTTAGCATTTTCCTATAAATTGGCATACTCATCCACATAAGCCATATTTTTCTTCTGCAACATTACTTTTTTTGCTATTTGACACATTATAATTTGCATAAACATCTAACTCATTTTTACACAACTTTATCAAATCTACAACCTTCATAGTAGGTTGCTCTATAATTCTACCTTTAAACCTCTTTTGTATGTTCTTGGTAGACAATAAACAATTGATATTGCTTCTAAAACATTTATGCCTAGGATGATAAGTTTTCACCATAAAACAATTCTCTTTAGAATCAAAACTAGCAAAAAACCTCCATGGACAACCCTCAATACAATCTAACTTAGTTCTTTTTTGTTCATTTTTTAAAATTTTCAATTATACTCCCTTTGCAAAAAAAAAAAAATAAAATTTTTTGACAGCATTTTTGAACTGTTTATTATCTACAAATTTAATTCCTAGTTCCTATAATGGAATTACATGATTAAGATTATACCTAGGTCCACTTTATGTCTTCCTTACATATGGGTTAGACTCATTATTAGATAGCTCACTATCTGTACACTCTCTATGATATGAAGAATCTATATAATCACTTTCATGCCTCTACACCTTTTTTTCTGTGTTACCTTTTAAGTCTTCATCCATAACCTCATATTTATCTACCATTTTAGCATCAACCTTACTACCTTTTTTAATCTCAATCCCATTTCCTCCTTTACTTAATATATCTGTTATATTAGTTACCTCAAGTGAAAATTTTAAATTACCCATATGTCCTATGCTACCTTAGCTCTTTTTTAGATCTCTTAATTTTTGCCCTATGGCTTGTATCTCTTCATAATCATCAGTAATATAGTTAATATCATACAAAAATATCTTTATCATTTCCATCTCCACACTCCTCATTTAATGATGAACCACCAACCTCTTCTTTATTAAATGTTGTATCATGGTCCATAAACTCAATTCCCTCATTAATATATTCTTCACCAACCCTAGTTTGACTATTCAAGTTTGCAACACCCTCTTTGTTACCCTTACCACCTAAATTGACATCACCTCTTATATTCTTCTCACCCCCTATAGTATTCTCAACCTTTACATTACCATCCAAACCCTCTATATTACTACCCTCACCTCTTTTAGTCTTATTATTCTTTACATTAACCTCTTTCAGTAAAAAGGTTCAAAGTGAAGCTCATTAACATTATGCTTAACATATATGTCTATAGTTTTTAGATATAATAAATGATCCATCAACTGTATAACAATCTTATCATCATGTATCAATACTAACCCATCCATATTAAACTTAGTATTAAAGATCCTATAGTAAACATAAGTTAAGGGCACATAGCCTAATGATTTCACTTGCTTTATTATTTCTGGATAGGATATCCTATGAAAATCTACCTCAAATCTATTCATAGTTGTATTCATATAATCAAAATCAGGTTTAGTGACAAATTGACCATCATAGAAATATCTTAATATATAAATAACTTTAGGTTTGTCATCCATTTTGCATTTTATAATAAAATAATGTAAAGCTAGACAAACAATGAATATAGTAATACAGAAACCATGTAAAACATAAAACTTTCTATAAATTTTGAAGCCTGTTTTGTTTTTGGATAAAAAATAGATCGATTGCTTTAAAGGGAGGATCAATAGGTTCACTTAGAAAACCTAGCCAATCATTCCCTACAGAGAAGGGATTAATTGATTATTGAAAAACTTGCACGAGATAGGCTATTAGAAGAAAAATATATTGATCCCTTTAACTAAGGGTTTGATTGGGTCATGTGAAGGGATCGATCCTTTCTATCCCAAATTGTCTAAAGTTCATTTTTGTTTCCCAAACATGTTTTGTTTTGGTTCAAAAATATTTTTTGGTAAAATAGAAGGCTGAAAAAATGTTCAATTTGAGATAAAATAAATTTGATTCAAGTTAGGTAAATTTTATTTTGTTAATTTAAAAGTTTTATCAATTCAAGGCTAACAATATCTTTTAGGAGCTTATAAGCTACCAACTTTCCTAAAAGTAATTACTGTTAGGAAAATATATACCTTAACCTTATAGTGCATTCAGCTCACATAAGTACCCATAGTATTCAAGTACATGGAGTTGATTGATGTGACTAGCCTCCGATTTACTAATAATCTCCCCCTCTCAGTAACACCATTAAGACTCAAATCCATGACCTTGGCTCTGATATCACTTTTAGGACCTTAGGCGCTACCAACTCTTCTAAAAGCAATTGTTATTAGGAAGGTGCATACTCTAGCCTTATAGTGCATTAAGCATACATAAGTGCCCATGGCATTCGAGCACATGGAGTTGATGGACGCGACTAACCTCTGATTTGCCAACAAAAGAAATCTCAAATCAAATATGGGTTAGAGAAGAACTTACCTCACAACCTTTCAAGATTTGGTTTAGTCAATTCATCACCTGAGTTGAGAAAGAAAACCAAATTCTTCGAAGATAAATAACTTTCCATATTTGGTTTTAGGGTTTCAACAATTACACTTTCAACATTCAAGATTTGGCAACAAAGTGTTTTGAGTTTAAATTTCATTTTAGAGTTTAAATGCCTATGATCGATTTGGTTTAATTGATTTTAGGAAATTTCATATTCAAGAAAGGTTTAGGGATTGCAAAAGGCACTACAACAAATTTGGTAATTTGTGACACTTATTTTAAGTGACGCATTATATTTTGTCATGCAAAGTATGTAAAAGGTGACAACAAATATATTTTGTCACCTTTTTATATTCTTTTGATATTTTATATGACAATTTATAAAATCGTCATATGATAACGTCATCAAAATCTTACCACTAAATTTTACTGTCAAATTTATTTGGTGGGAAATATTTTTATAACGTTTTTTATTTTAGGCGACGCTATAATTTTGTCACCAATTTAAAATTTCATCTGTGATAAATTTTTTATGATGGATTTTAGGTGACATTATTAATTTTTATCACAAATTGAATACTTTAGTTAACTATTAATGACATTGCAATTTCAATATATTAATGTATGGTGTTATATGATGATAATATAAATGTCACAAACTTTTACCACCAAATTTATTTGGTAAAAAAATTTTTTGTGACATTTAAATGTTGTCACTAATTTAAAATTTTATCTGTGATAAAATTTTTTAATAGATTTTAGATGATATTATCAATTTTTGCCATAAATGTAACACTTTAGTTAACTATTAATGACATTACAATTTCGTCACCTTTATTTTATGGTATTATATGATGATAACATAAATGTCACAAACTTTTATTGTCAATTTTTTGTGACTTTTTTTTATTTTAAGTTAAATATGTCACTAATTTAAAATTTTATCTATGACGAATTTTTTTTATAGATTTTAGGTGATGTTATTAATTTTTGTCACAAATTGAATACTTTAGTTAACTATTAATAACATTACAATTTCGTCACGTCAATTTATGGTATTATATGATGACAATATAAATGTCATAAACTTTTACCATCAAATTTATTTGATGAAAAATTTTTTATGACATTTTTTTATCTTATGTGATGTTATAATTTTGTCACTAATTTAAATTTTTATTTATGACAAAATTTTCTGATAGGTTTTAGATAATATTATTAATTTTTGTCATAAATTAAACACTTTAGTTAATTATTAATGACATTATAATTTTGTCACATTAATGTTTGATGTTATATAACAATAACATAAAATGTCATAAACTTTTATAGTCAATTTTATTTGGTAGAAAATTTTTTATGACATTTTTTTATTTTAGGCAACGTTATAATTTTGTCACCCATTTAAAATTTTATCTATGATGAATTTTTTTGATAAATTTTTGTTACAAATTGAACACTTTAGTTAACTATTAATGATATCACAATTTCATCACATCAATGTTTGGTGTTATATGATGATAACATAAATGTGACAAACTTTTACTGCCAAATTAATTTAATGAAATTTTTTTTGCAACATTTTGGATTCTAGGTGAGATTATATTTATCTATCACTAATAAATTTAAACTAATATATAAGTTATAAGTGACGATTTGACTTAGCTTATATATATTTATTATTATACCTATTTAAGAATATAATTTTTTTATTGAGCATAATTTATTTTTGTATTCATATATAAAAATTTTATAATTAAAGAAAATGAATTAAATATTACATATAATAAAAATTTTAAAATACACATATATTGTTTATAATTTTAAAAGAAATTTTAAAAACTTCTAATTTAAAGTTTTTGTTAAAGGAAAATTTTTAAAGTAAAAAATTATTTTTACTTATATATATGTATTAAAATTTTTTCAAAATATTTTTAGAGTCACTGTATTTAAAAATAGATGATACTCTACTTATCCATATCTTATCCAATAATATCTCTACTTAGACATTAATGCTATTAAAATTAAATTTTGTCAATAAATAAGTTCATAATTTATAACGTATAAAAATTAATATAAAAGTTGTAACTTTTATATAAAAATTAATTTTAATTCAAGTTTCCCCGAAACTTCTAAACGACACCATTTTAGATTTTTTTTATTAGGTTTTTCACACTCGCTGCAAAATCATGCTAACAATCTCGTGGAATGGCTTTTTGCCAAACACGTCCCCCCTTCAAACTCTCTTCTGCTCTCCTCGTCATTGACAAGCCACTCTCCTCTGCTTTCCTCAAGCCATTATCGAAAGGTAGCAAATTCAGCCATTGCTGTTCGACTAGAAGCGGCCCAAGTTTGTTTTCATCTCTTTTATGCATTGAGTGAAGCAAATTTTAGTTAATATTTTGTTTTAGGAGCAATATGGAACAAGCAAATAGATTCTAACGAATCTCTGTCTCCATCGTCGCCATCGCCAAGGAACCAAGAATCAGAAACAGCATCGGTTACTGCATCGAGTGCAGTTGGAGACCTAGTTAACTCTTTCAACAAGCAACGAATCTTCAAAGAAGTCACACTCGCTTCCCGCGCCGATCTCTGTGATGCCTGTATAGAGTTCTTTTTCCTTTGTGTCTGTGGCCTCCATTTCTTCCTCAAATCCCTCCGATCCATAGCCCATCTGAGTCCTCTATCTTTTCTTGTCCCACACCTAATTCATCATCGACCTCCAAGGTTCATAATTTATAAATACAATTTAAAAAAAATCTTCGGGTTTTTTTTTTTTTTTTAATTTGTGTGTGAAATTTGGGTCTTTTGGGTGTAGTGGTTCCAATGTTGTTTGAGCATTCATTGATGAAAAATGAGGATGACATAGCGGGAAGCTTGGATCATATGTTTAGTTTGGAGCTAATGAAGATTAAAAGTCCTTCCACGAATGCGGAAGTTGCTCTAGCGCTTAGAGTCTTGGAAGGTTGCTATCTATTTCACCTGAAAAACACTCATTTGGCCCATCTACACAAAGCCATCCTGGTGATTCTATATATACTTCTAAGAAAGTGTATTTAGATTTGTGCTTCTATAGAAAGATGACTTAAATTAATGAGTGACAGTTCTTGTTGATGGAAAATGGGCAGAGGGATTGAAAAGTGACATTGGATGTCATTGTGGAATATATCATAAAGCATGTCCCATTGTGTCAAAACAAAAAAATTAAGGTGCCGTTTCATAGCTGCAATTTGCTTGCATTTAGCCAAATATTTTGAGGAATATAAATATTAATATTGAATGTAATCTTTGAATACTTGATGTGATGCAGGTTTTGATGAATGTGTTACTAACTCGAGCCGTTCTTGAAAAAGTGGTGCATGCTTGGATGCTTTAATCTCAATAATGTTGGATTCTTCAGCCAATCAAATGGTATTTTTTGTCTTCTTTGGTTGTGCTAATGTATTACTTAGCAAAATTCACTAATATTTTAGTATAAATTTATAGTCTAGTTTGTTTTATTTCATTTTTTTGCTGCCAATTTTTATTAATAACTCTCTATACTGATGCTAATGCTATTAACCTATTTTACTGCATCATCATGGTTGCATAACCTTGAAATCTGTTTTAGCTTGTGTAGTTTGTAAATTCATCATACTATTCTTAAAGCATTTCCATCTTAGTCTTTAAAGAAGTTTAGTTATCAAAGACGGAGTTTAGCTCCATCAATAGTATATTTGAATGGTAGCAAAAATGTTCTTTTATAGCCTTTTGCGTTTTAGGGGAATAGAAGAAAAAACACTCAACTTTACTTCTTTTCTCCTCAATTGTGGTTCTTTTAATGATGAAGATATAAGTTGCCAGTTCTTTCCTATGTTTTTTCTGCTTCATACAAGTAACAGGGATTGGTAACTTTCTACCGTTTTACAAGATTAACACTATGGGCTTCTAGGAAGTTAATGGTTTTCTCAACTACTGACTTAATATTCCATCAAAATCCTCTCCAATCTACTAGTCAAAAGCCTTTTGAAAGGATGTTACTTAAAGGAAGAATAATTTGTAATGGCCATTGTAATTAGATGTTTAGATTTGCAAAAGTCCTTCCACTATTTCCATTTCATAGGTCTTCCCAGAAACTATAGGTCATGGAAACCTAATTTTAACACTAAAACAGAAAAGGTTTCATGAGGACTGGAAACATTCAGGTTAACTGTACGTGAGAACAACATCTTTAAATAATCTCTAAAGTTGATCAGAGGTTTTATACTAAACTATGTAGCTAAAGAAAGGTTCCCTATGACTTTTTCACATGATTTCTAGTAATGATATCTTTCTTATGTCCATTCCATCTGATGTATATATGCATAATGTTTTTGCTATTATTCCCTAGGATTTTGAAGCATGTAATGCCATTGATGAAGTTGTAGAGCTGGTACAAAGCAACCAAGTGGATGAAAATCTCAGGTACTTGAAAATAGTAGCTGGGTTATTTATTTCAACACCTTGTTCTTATTTTCTAATGCTCCTATTTATTTCCTACTATGCCTATATCCTACGTCTTAAACCCACTGAAAATAAATTAGGAAATGTATTATTTTCTCAATGGAGTTTGCCTATTTATATGTGTAGAAGAAACTGATCTCCAAATACTATTTATCTTTTTAATGCTATGCTATTTCTCATTAATTCAGTTTTACTGAAAAAGAAAGACCATTCTGCTGATCAAGTTGAAATGCGAAAAGTTCTTGCTTCTCATAGGACATGTAAATGGGAGGGAAAGGTCTCCTATGGCAACCATTCATGAGGACGTAAGAAAACTTTTCGGTGAAAAATCTACTTTTCTCTATCAAAGGGTCCTTGCCTGGTTCTTGTGATTCTTGATTTGATGTGGTTGCCTGTGCTGTGTTTGTGTGTTTCTGCTTTACTTGTTTGCATGACTGTATCTTAGTTTAAGTTACTATTATAACTTCTGCCTTCCTGTCTTGATTTGGATGATAAAACATCATTCCTGTGATGCAAGATATATCAAAGCATGATAATGACATGGGCTTCTTGAAAACATGTGCAATTGTAATTTTCTTATGATTTATCCGAATTGATTTAAAAATAGGCTTAAGTTAATGGTGATTACTTATTTAAACATGAACCACCCCATCTTTTGTCTATTTCCTATGATTAGTATCAACATTACAGATTGAAAAGTTTACTTGTTAATTTCTTGACAAAACCTATTCTTTAATATAGGATAGGACCTCATTTAAAAATTTCATATGCATAAAATGGATTCATTTGTGTTTTATATTAGTTTTGATCTTATCGTGTGTATTGTGGTTTGTTTTGATATTTGCTATTATTTATTTATTGTAGCTTCAAGCAATATAAACTCACCATCAACACAATCACTTTCGACACAAGATTTGGATTGAAAGCTTGAAGACAAGATTTCGATGACTACCTATTTCATAGTTATGACTTTTTATTTTTTAAACAATATTATTTCTATATGATTTTAGGATAGACTTTAAAGAATATAATACATTTAAAAATCAATTTAAATATTGGTGGATTTGCAAGAACACTACATTAGATTATTCCACAAAAATGTTTTTATATATAGGATTTAATAACGTTAATTATGTCACCAATACTGTAATAATTTATTTTTCATCACTAATATATTAGATTTAATCATTTATTTTGTGACAATTATAGCCTTTAATGACATTTTTGATAAATAGCTAACAAAAACTAATGTCACAAAAATAAGCATAATGTGATGTTTAATTTTATTGTTACGTTTGACATTATCTTATAACCATTTGTGATGATAATTTTATTACCAATACTATGACAATTTATCTTTCGTAATTAATAGATCAGATTTTATCATTTATTTTGTGACAATTATAACCTTCAATAACGTTTTTTCTTTATAAATAGTTGACGAAAATTAATGTCATATAAAAAAAAGTATAAGGTAACGTTTGATTTTATTGTCACGTTTGACATTATCTTATAATCATTCGTGACAATAATTGTGTCACCAATATTATGATGATTTACCTATTGTCACTAATATATCAGATTTTATCATTTATTTTGTGATGATCATAGCTTTTAATGACGTTTTGTTTATAAATAGCTGACGAAAACTAACGTCACAAAAATTAATGCATAAAGTGACGTTTGATTTTATTGTCACAGTAGACATTATCTTACAATCATTGGTGATGATAATTTTGTTATTAATATTGTGACGATTTACCTTTCATCACTAATATAGTAGATTTTTTTGTGACGAATATAGTCTTCAATGACTTTCTTTTTCAATAAATAGCTAAAAAAAATTAACGTCACAAAAAAAACATAAGGTGACATTTTATTTTATTGTAACTGTAGATTCATAATAGGTGACGATATTTTACTATTGTCATATTAGACCTTTAGCGACGGTGCAAATGTGACGAATATCGTGACGTTTAAGTTTTTGTCATGAAATACATAGGGTGATGAAAAATAAATATTTAGTGATATTATTCTATGCACCATTAATGACCAAATTTGTTGTAGTGACGGTAGCAGATTAGGATTTTTTTTGGTTGAAATATTAGGGATTTCAAAAGGGGTTTCTTTAGTTTTTGCAATTTCTTTATTTTTCCATTTTCAAATGTTACAAATAAACCCCTAAAACCAATCATAAAATGCCGCATGTGTAAAATTGGTGGGAAAATCCAGCCAAGAGCCATGATTTCCATGTCATGTGCCATGTTGGAATAAAATTGGCCACGTCATGTACCATATATTTATTAAATGTCACATGTAATTCAACTTAATAGCTTAAACAATTTCCATCCAATTTAGGGCTTATTTAATCAAAAATAAAATTATTAAATCTTTATTGATTGTAATAAAACATTAAAGGCTTAATTAGTTATTCAATTTTTTGTTTAGGGGCTTTTTAAAACCCTTAAGCCAAATAAAAAATGAAAGAAAAGGCTAGCATTTTGATGGATTAAATACAAAAATAGCTCATGAATTATATATTTTTTATCAGTTTGATATCTAAAGAAATAAAACTATTATATTGGTATTTGAACATTCATTCTATTATCACGTTAATCCCTTAAACTAACGCTGTTATTCAACTTTGCTGACGTAGTATAAAGATCCAATAAGATACTGATACTTGTAAAGAAAAAAGTTCAATGAGCACCACATCATCAATACCACATCAATATAAAATGAAAAATTCAAAAAAAAATTTCAAAATTCAAAAGAAAAAATAAAAAATAAAATTTTTTTAAAAAATTTAAAAAAGTGTAAATAAATTATAAAAAAATTTTAATAACTCTAAAATATTTAAAAAATTCTAAAATTTTTTTAAAAAATAAAATTTTAATAAATTCAAAAAAATTTTCAAAACACATTAAAATTCTAAAAATTTTAAAAATTCTAAAAACTATTAAAAGTTTGTAAAAACTTCAAAAAAATAGTACAAATTTAAAAAACTTTTTGCAAATTCTAAAAATTTTTTAAAATTTTCTCAAAAGGCTTTAAATTTCCTAAAAAATTCAAAACGATTTTAAAAAATTCAAAAAATTTTTAAAATTTGTAAAAAAAAAAATGAAATATTTTTAAAAATTATAAAAATTATGATAATTTAAAATTTTTCAAAAATTAAATAACAAATCAAAAAATTCAAAAAAAATGAAATTTTTAATAAAAATTAGATTTTCTTAAAGTTTAAAAAAATCACAAAAACTTAAAAAACTGAAAATTAAAAAAATATAAAACTTTTTGAAAATTTATAAAATATAAAATTTTGTGAAAATATCAAAAAAATTCAAAAAAATGCAAAAAAAATTTACAAATTTAAAAAATTTAATAATTTCAAAATTTTGGAACAATCTAAAAAAAATTAAAAATTATTTAAAATAAAAAATAAAATAACGAAAAATTTTAATAAAAATTGTTATAAATTCAAAATTAAAAAAAATTAAAGTGTAAGATTGAAAATTTTGAAAATTTTTTACAATTGTTCAAAAAATTTTATATTGTTTCAAAAGAATTTAGAGTTTTATGTCAACGATTTTTATGTTTTTGTGAATTTTTTTAATTTTAAGAAATTTTTATTTTTTGTTAAAATCTTCCATTTTTTTTAATTTTTTAAAAATTTTTGGATTCTTAAAATTTTTTAATTTTATAAATATTTTTTTGAATTTTTCCAAAATTTTTTTAAGTATTTTATAATTTTTTTAAAAATTAATTTTTTTAAGAACTTTTTAAAATTTTTAGAATTTTTTAAATTTTTTAAAAATTTCTTTTAATGATGATGTGGCATTGATAATTTGGCTCTAACTAAATTGTTTGACACATTTTGGTATTTTATTAGATGTTTTTCATGTGAGTAAAGTGGACTAACGATATTTGTCTGAAGTACCAATGTGATAATGATATGAAAGCTAAGGTATCAATTTAATAGTTTTGTTTCTTTGGAGATCAAACTAATAGAAAAATATATAGTTAAGGAACCATTTTTATATTTAACCCTATTTTGATTTTTATGGTTGAATCAAAACATTGAGTTTTGGTGAAAAAAAATAAATATTAATTCTCTACCTAATTACATTTAAATGTTAAAATGAGACTTTGAAATCAATTGTGTTAAATAACACGATTTTCTACATTTCTTAGGTATAAATATTAAGCCATTTAACTCATTAATCTTTAATAAGTTATTTTTAATAAATATAGTTTTTTTAATAAATACAAATAGTAATTGCAATGGTAATTCCATTTCTAAGTAACCATTTTATTATCTTTCTTTTTATTTATTAAATATGTAAATATATCTATATATTTATAAACTATATTTATAATAATCTCCCTCGGAGATTGTTGAAATATTTTTCGATTTGTTTAATAATGAATTGACACATGATCAAATTGATTGTAATGCCTCTCCTGTTATAATTATAGAAATGTCTTTTCAATCATAACAAAATTATTATAATACTTGTCTTATCATAATTACGAAAATACTTCTCATATTATAATTGATTAAAATTATTATAATACTGCTATTATCATAATTATAGAAATACTCCTCTCATCATAATTGGTCAAAATTATTATAATACTTATTATTATAATTATGAAAATACCCTCATGATTACTTTATGGGAAGTTGACATGTGGTATTTTGTTTAAAAATTACTATAATACCTCTATTAAATTATGTATTAAATTTTAACATACTATAAAATTAATCATATATTAAATTACTAAAATACATTTACCATCACTTTGTTAAACTATATTGAAATTAATCTATCTTTGAGATTACAGAAATGTCCTTAAGTTTGGTTAATAATGAGCTAACACATTGCCAAAATGATTGTAATGCCTTTCTTGCTATAATTACAAAAATACCCCTCCAATCATAACAAAAATTATTATAATACCCATTTTACCATAATCATGAAAATGCCCCTCCTACAATAATTGATTAAAATTATTATAATGCCCTTACATTATAATTATGAAAATGCTTCTCTTATCATAATTGATCAAATTTACTATAATTCTCTTTATCATAATTACAAAAATGTCTTTATAATTGTTTCCTAAGAAATTGACATATGGAATTTAAATTTTAAAATTACTATGATACTCCTATTGGATTATGTATTAAATTTTAACATAATATAAAATCAATCACATATTCAATTATTAAAATACCCTTACTATTACTACATAAAAATTTGACATGTGGTATTTTATTTGAAAATTACTATTATACCTTCATTAAATTAAATATATTAAATTTTAATATAATATAAAATTAATTAAATGTTAAATTACTAAAATTAACTATATATTAAATTATAAATTTTAGGAATATCTATCTTACCCATATCTAATAAGGAGCTCGACATTATACCCGAATATGAATGAAGATGGGTATGCGAATAAAAATGTGTATGATTTTAAGTTTTTATTAGATATATCCATTACGAGGATCGGTACGAGGATGAAAATGTATACGATTTTAAATTTTTAGTAGGTATTGGGATGGAAACTGATAATATAGCATTGATCTCGTACTTATGCCTTACATTTATATTTAGTAAACATATATTTTTATTAAATAATATAAATTATAAGATTAATTAGAATTAATATATTTTTATTTTAAAAAACATATTAATATATATTTATTAAAAATTACAAAAATATACAAGATAAAAATAAAAAAGCTAAAAAATTTATTTTTATTTTTATATTTTTTTAAGAGTTAAGTAGAGGGATTATCCATTCCCATTAAATAATCGCAGGGATAAGGATAAATTTAAAATTTATGTTGGTTATGTAAACAAGATGAATATGATATAAAAATTTGAGAATAATGATGAATAATACTCTACACACCCCATATGCTATCCATTAACATCTCTAATTAATTTTTCATTGAGATTACTAGAATGCTGGTATGGTTCTTTGATGAGAAGTTAACATGTGCCCTAATTAGAAAATGTCTCATATCATAATTATTCAAAATTACTATAATGTCTCTCATATCATAATTATAAAAATATCACTCCTATCATAATTGATCAAAATTACTATAATATTCCTCTAACTATGATTATGAAAATGTTTCTCCTATTATAATTGGCCAAAATTATTATTATATACTTTATCATAATTACGAAAATACTTTTATGATTGTTTCATAAGAAGTTGACATTTCACATTTTGTTTGAAAATTACTATAATAATTCTATTAAATTATGTATTAAAATAATTATAAATATATTCAAGATAATAAAAAATTGAGGTGGCTATTTCCAGTGCAATAGAAAAGTTAGCCTTTGGATTTGGACATTCTTAATAAAAATTAGTCATAAGAAGAAATTCTTTAAAAAATAAAAAAGGTTAAAATTCTTAGTGAAATTTATAAAATTCTAAATTGAAAATGGTTAAAATGAAAAATTAAAATTAAAAATAAATAATTACAATAGAATTTGTGTATATCATATATATATATTATATCAAAAAAATTTTGAGAAAAAAAAATACCTTAATACATATTTAAATGGAAACTTTAACTAAATATTAGGATAGTATTCTCACTATCACTATTGATTAAATTTATTTGATGAGACTTAGCTTAAATGATTCATATACATTTTTAGAGGGTTAGTTTCTAACAAAATTAGAGTTTGATCCCTATCACTTGCAAATTTTCTTTTGCTATTTTCGGTTTTGGCTTCTTTTGTGTAATTTTTTTCACAATATTATGTAAAGTCAACATTTTACATATTAGTGATTTGGTTATTCAATTTTATTGATATGTTTGAAGTTTTTCAATTTTAATTTTTATCTGGTTATTTTTTATTAGAAAGTATTTTTCATGGATAATAAGAAATCTTACAAATTTAATTAAAAAAATATATATCTAAGCCTCATGTTCTTATCCTAATATATAGGCGCCCACAATTTGATTAAAATTAAATTAATCGATCAATTGAATTAATTTAATTAATGGATTGGTTATTAAATTAATTTCGAACGATTATCAAAATAATTTTTAAAAAAATTTTGATTTTTGATTAATTCAAAAATGAAATTAATCAAAATTTTAATTCAAAGATAACAAAATCCAAAATAAAAATAAAAACAAATGAATTGGACTGTTTTATTTTCTAAATTATTAAAGTTTTAAACTTAATTTTTAAGTTTTAAATATTTAATTAGATAATTTTATTTAATTTATTTCAAATATGAGAAGTTAGTAGTTTAAAATACAATTTAATTTAAATGTATTTTACTAGAAAAAAGATCATTTCCACTACTTAAAAAATAGTGGAAGCTTCCACAATTTTGTCTGAGGGTTAAAATATATTTTCATTAAAATCCATGGTTGAAATTTAATAATTTTAAATTGATTATGAAAATAAATAAAATTTAATTAAAAAATAAAATTGATTTAAACAAACAATAACCATAGATTTAGGTGAAGGTGCATTATTAATTCTTTAGATAAAATAATGGAAACTTTCATAACTTTTTAAGTAGCGGAAATGATCCTTTTCCATTTTATTATTCTATTAACCAAAAAATTAATTAAAATAATTAAATTAAATTTGACTGATTAATTTTTGAATTAAAAAATTTTATTTTCTTAATAAAAATAAAATAAATTAATTCAGTTTTAAATAATTCAATTCCAAATAAATTGAACCGATGAAATAAACACTCTCATTAATATAATAATATTAATTGAGGATCAAATTACACAAATTTAAAAGTGAAAGATCAAAATGACACGTTGAAAATAAGTTAAATACTGCCATTGCAATTTACTACTATATCCTCTGTTTTTTTTAAAACAAATTCACTCCTCTTTTCTACTTAAACTAAATAGCTTTGGATTTTACAATTTCCAAATTAAAGAAAATGACTTTGAAAAAGAAATCCACCGTCAACAGCGATAGCGAAGAAGACGAAACCTTTTATTACCGCTACTCCTCCGCCGCAGCCCCACCGTCCTCTTCCTCCTCGAAATCCATAAACCCCAACCAAACCCACGCCAAATCCGCCGGTGTTGGTGGGGGATCCGGCGGTCTAGCCCCATCGAAATCAACCCTTTACGTCTCCAACCTCGACTACTCCCTCACAAACTCCGACCTGCACACTCTCTTCTCCACCTTCGGCAAAATCGCCCGTGTAACTGTCCTCAAAGACCGCGCCACGCGAAATTCGAGAGGGGTTGCCTTCGTCCAGTTTGTTTCCCGCGATGACGCTTTATCGGCGGCAAGTGTCATGCACGGAAAAGTGCTCAACGGCAGAACACTCAGCGCTTCAATCGCCTTTGATAACGGACGAGCCCCGGAGTTTATTAAGAAAAGGGTTTATAAGGATAAGTCGAGGTGTTATGAATGTGGGATTAGTGGGCATTTGTCTTATGAGTGTCCGAAGAATCAGTTGGGGCCAAGGGAGAGGCCAGTGCCAAAGAAAGCCCGGAGAGGTGGCGGCGGTGGCGAGAAAATGGATGATGGTGGGTACTGGGGGGAGGAGGAAGCGGATGGTGGAGAGGTGTTTGAGGAGGAGAATTGGGCGTCAGTAGTTGATGGGGCGGCGGAGGAGAGGTTGAGGAAAGTGGAGATGGTGGAAGAAAGGAAGAAGAAGAAGAAGGTGACCAGAAAAGCGAGTTATTTTAGTGATGAGAGTGATGAGGAAGAGTGATTTAATGGTGAAAATGGAGAAATGGGATTGCTTTTTCAGGGTCAATCTGAAATCAATTGAATTTGAGGTACAGTATATTTTGATGGTAATAGTTATTGCACTTATGCATATATTGTATCTCTAGTGGGATATCTGTTTATTTCTGTGATGAGAGTGATAAGGAAGGGCGGCTTGGTGAGAGAAATGAAGTTGCTTTGTTGGGTTAAAATCTGATGTTGGATCATCTGAGTTTCAGATATTAGTTTTAGACAATCTGATTAGTTATATTGTTTAAAAGTATGATTAGGGTTTGAATTTTCATGGTGATAATGGTTGCAAATTGTGCATTGTTGTACCACCTAATTTGATATTTGATGCATAAATGACAAATTGGTTATGAACTAGGAAAAAAATGGTTGAGTTTGTACGGTCCTTCTTGGTCTTCTCTATTTATTTTTTTTCTCGGGTGTTGTCTTATTTATACGATTTTATGCTTGAAAGATGTTGAAATTAAAATGGTTCCCATTCATGTGTAGTTGGTAATTGATGGTTTGGTTATGTCAGCTTTGTTTTTTAAGGATTGTGTTTGTTTGAGCTTTGTTTTGCTTATTGATCGTTTTGGTTCTTTAATTTTGTTGGTAGCTCATGTTTAACTAGTTTGAGGTTAACGTGCTGTTGGTTGGTATTAAACATTTATACTGATATTTCGGTGGATATTGATTGAGAACTAGAGATAGAAGTTGTTATGTGCAATCTAATTTTGCTTTATTTGAGCATGAGTGATAAATCCTCCTCTATTATGATGACCTCAAGGAGGACTTCAGAGCCATTGACATTTGATATCATTTCAGTGAATGCCTTTTACATATCTGCAAGCCATTTTAAGTATGATGCATGTGTCAACCAAATGCATTCAGCATTCCTATCAATGGAAATAGTTGATTCATGTTAAATGCAAGATGCATGGTTGATAAGTGGTTGATGAGGGAAAAGTTTTTGCTCCATCAGGTCTCTAGATGAAAATCTCTAATATCTTAGATTGCAACTAATTTGTAAAAGCTCCTTTTAATGCTAGTGGGTAATTTGCAGTTGTGAAAATTAATAGTTAACTGTCTTGATAACATGCACATATATTTGACCTTGTAAAAATAAAAAGTAAATGCTCAATTGAAATATATTTCATAATTATGAAGTCAAAGAAGTAGAGCCGAACTTGTAAGTTAAGGTTTTTGGAGTTGTTGAATTATTTTCTATTTTATCTTGTACTTGTCAACAGAAATTTGAAGTATAGTTGAATTAGAAGGTTTTAAACTATATGTTCCTTTTGCATAATGCTCTATCATGTAGTGGCTCAATTTCTTTCCCCAGTTGAAGATGCTGGAGAAAAATGATCGAGGCAAGATGTATATGATATATTAATGTAAGTGATTAGCTAGTAAGCTGATAGTTTAAGAGGCTTTAATGTAGATGGAGAATCAGTTTGGTATGAGATTTCATTTTGTCAAGTAACATCTTCTCTTGGGTGTTTCTCAGCATTTGAAGCTTTGCTGTGTTCCATTTCACTTCTTTTTTCCTTTGGAAGAACATACTACAAAAAACTGGTCTGTGAAAGATAGGATTACATGTGAAGCATAAAACTGATAGACAATAAAGCTGTCCGTAGATGCTTGCTTGTGCAAGAGGGTGGAGAGCACCTTTTGTCTGTCACAAATGTGTTATAATGGAAGATTTGAAAGTTGCAAAGTTTTTGTAACTGCCAATGAACACTGACAATGTTTGGGCTGCAAAACGATAGCTTGCATTTTCTCTTATGTTTAATGATCAGCTCTTAACTTATTTGTGGAGTGCTTTGAGAACCTCTGGAAGTGATTTTATTTGGTGTTGTGTATCTTTCTACACTTCTGTTTTTTGACACCTGTAACATGAAGAGTACCAAGGTGTTTTCCATCCTGCAGATAATCAAAATAAAATTAAGTTCTTAAGTATTTCCACATAAGGGTGGACTAATGCATGTGCCATTTGTTGTATCCTTTGCTATTGTGGAACTATAGAAATTTATTTGTCTCTTGACACAATGATGTGGATGTGTATATATATAGTGTTTACTTTTTTATATATGAGCGTGGTTTGCATTTTTAAATGATGTGCATTCTATTTTTACTTTTTTTTTTTTGTACTTGAAAATGTCAGGAATTGAATTTTAATTACTGAACCTAGAAGTTCAGCACTTTAACAAGAAGTCAGAGTTTTTGGTGCTTCGCTATTACTTTGGCTAACATTTTGTCAAAAAAATCAGGATGTGGTTTGTAATTCGTAATTTATCTTTTTTAAACTATTTTTTTTGGTCTCTCTTTTGTCAGAAATTACACCGAAAATGATGTTGCTTCATTGGTTCTACATTCAAGGACCTTTTCACAAAGGAACTGAGTGGTATGAGGGCATCTTAATGGACAAGCAGGAGTTTCTATCTTAGTATTTCAGTCTATGAATGATGTATAATAGTTTGATAAGTTGATAAATAAAATTATAAAATGAATCCTTTACAGGCAGTAAGTAGTAGAATAATAGGAGGGCAGCGAAGAAGTTTGGTTGAATGGTAATTGAGAAGAATTTTGATGTTATGGCTTGGATTTTTGTTTGCCTGCTTTTGCTTTTCATCTTAAGAATTAAGACATCAGTTAGTTCAAAGAGAAAGAAGAATCCCACGAACTAAAAAAGCTTTTATGGATTTACTCAATCCAGAGAGTACTGTTGTATTTGAGTCTATTTATGCTAAACATAAAACAGATGGAAACAACTAATAGAGTTGATCACCAGATTACATCTAAGACTATGGCTACAGTTCAGCCAATATTGCAGTATCATTGCTGCTATCTTCTGAGTTACAGCACAGAACCAGGGATTACCCTTCTTGGCGTCCGATCACTGTTGAGTTGCACTAGTTTATGTTGAGCCTGACTGTTGTGAAGTCTGCAAGAAACTCAAAAACATAGTTTAAGCAACAATGCTGCTGGACTCACAATCATATAAACACTTCAAAAGTAGAACAGGCAGCAAGGAAACACCAACTCACCAGCATTTCATGATCTCCCATAATTTCTTCTATCAACTCAGCAACCGGTTTATCAGCACTGTTGGGAACAAGAGCAGCAAATACAGCTGCCTCTAATCCTGCATATAATCAAAGGAATAGGTAGATTGGTTTATTTAAACTGGCTCTAATAATTTCAATCCATAACTTTCATAGTTTATTTGAAATTTTTGACTCGAATACGATAGAAATCTGTGGGAAGGTAATTTCACGAATTCACTAGGCTCGACATTAATAAGCTTGTTTAGACAATCTGGAGAAGGAATGTACTAGACAAAGTCAGGAATCCTTTGCCCCTTAATAAAAAAAAGTTAAAGTTACTTCAACTGCAACTTTAGGCAAAAACTTTTACGTACCAGTTTCTGGAAATGCATCAATGAACATCATCATCTCCTCCCCACTAAGACCAGAGAAAAAACAGATCCGTGGCAGTGACTTGGCAATCTGCAGAATGTAACATGCTAATCACATTTGAACATGAATAGCTAGAACTTCACAGGACAATATATGCTTCAGTACAGAAAATCTCTAATCTGCTAGCCATTTCATCCAGAACGAAATTAAGTACCACTATCTTTCCTTCTAATAGCTAAAAGCATTCAACTGCATTGTTATACTTCAGGTAATCCACTTATTAAATGGATGCTAAGTTAATTCTGTTGACTCTTAGGTCCAGTTCTGGAAACAATGATGGCCTAAACACTGGTACAACACCGGTATGCCACGGTTTCCCCGTGTCCATGCATCATAGCTTTTGGTGATAAGTTGAGACTAAACTAAATTATGTCTCTTGACAGCCTCAAACATTTGAAATTCCCAATGACCCTTTGAAAAGCTCATTAGATTCATCATAACCATGTTACCTCTCAAAATTTCTAATAGAAACTCTGTTGAGCCTTATTCTGCCAGCAGAAAATGGTAAGCAGTAAACAGGGATAAGATGGTGAACAAGAAGAAAGACTTTAGAATGAGCTAAGAAATTAACCTTCACTTCTTCCAAATTAGGTTGCCTTGTATTCACAGCTTTCCAAAGTGAACGAGTAATCATGTCTTCGGTGCAATAAATAATCTGAACATATGAGCATTCAAATGAGAAAAATAGAGCACAACACGTTCGAATACAGCAGATCTAAATTTCCTTCTGATATGTGAAATAGTTATCATAACATTAATTTCCTGGAATGCTGGAATTGACACCAACAGCAAGAATGAAGATCCTAATTTGCCTTCTCACGTGAAAAACGACGGAAAACTGAGATGTTTTATAATAAATTTAGTTCAAATGATATGGAGAAAAAGAAGATAATTGCATTTCTAAAGCTTCTGCCTTCCTGAATCTTGTTAATGACTATAGGCAATAGTATTTCATATATGAAAACTCAAAACAATAAAAGCCATGCTACTAAACCAATCCCAAGAAAATGAGAAACGGAAAAATAATTCAAATACTGCCAAGTTCATCAGTATTTTGTGAGATTAGAATTACTACTGTACATCGTTAAGGCAAGAGCAAAAGTGCTTTTTGAGAAAGTTAAGGAGCAACACAAAATATAAAATTTCTTTTGGGTGCCTTGCTGGAAAATCAAATTTCAGCAGGCTCTTTCATATTTTTTCCCCATTTTGCATCATTATAGGAAAATGTAGAGACAAGAAGTAAAGTATTACCTCCAAGAATTCACCGTCCATTGCTTTCAAAAACTGCCGTATCTGTCCTAAGAAGACATACAAAGTTGCAAGATCAGTAAGGGAGTCATTCTAAGAATTAGTCCAACACGCACATTCAAAGCTGTGTAATAATTTTCGAGAGATGAGACAGTGATTCATCTCATGCTTACAGGAGTGTACTTTGTATAGATTAGAAAGTGAAACAATAGAGCTTCACTTTAATCAATTTCTTATATGAACAAAATTAAAAGAATGTATACCCAACGTCTTTCTCCCGCCATAGCTAAGCTGCTTGGCATAGCCAAGTTGGGAACCGGACCGATCTTCAAGAAAGAGATCCTAAATTCAAATTCCACCTCCCTCCAAGCAACAAAAAGGGGAAAATGTCATCCCAGAAGTGGATCTAGGATTTTTTTTTGAAGGTGTCTGCTTAAAATATATATAAAAAATTGCCCATGGATTTACCAATTTTGTCGACAAAAAAGGCTGTCCATGAAAAAAATTTTAGAAGTGTCCAGAGAAAAAATTTTCCTTTAAATTTTCTTATTTTCCAATTTTTGGTAGTGTCCATGAATGCCCTATTTCAAAAGGTGGATCCGCCTCTGGCCATTGCTAGATTTTTCTTTCCCTCTTCACTTACTAAAACAAAGGAAGGGAAAAAAAACTTATATGCTATCAAAGGTGGATCTGCCTCTGGCCATCCCTAGTTTGTCTGCAATAAAGGAGGTGCATGCCTACCTGTGTTGTTCACCAGGGACATATAAGCTACTTGAGCTCTAGAAAGAATGTACTACAGATAATCAAATTTGGAAAAATAGCTTCTTCCAGTTCAAAACGAGCAGTAAAAATTGCTAAACATTACCTTCTCTGCTTCCTCAGCTTCAAATCCGAGCAACAATAAAGCCTATGAAACAAACGAAATTAAAAGTCTCAAATGACATGTGGGTTCAGACTGTGTATTTATGTTTACGATTCATCACATTGAACAGTTACTGTTTGATACCTTTAATGCAAGGATTATTCTTTGTAATAAGTTCTACTACTGATTAAAATTGAAACAACTTGCATGATTTATCTACAATCATTTTGTTAAAAGTAGGAAACGAACAGGAACTAACTGGAAGTAACAGGTAAGAAACTAACCGGAACTTACAGGTGGACCATATGTGGGATCATCAGCATTCAAGGGAACAAACTTTGAATCCTCAACTAACTCACTGGGAAGTCCTGCAAAATATGAATATGTTAGGAGAATATCAACACAAACACACAGAAGATAAACTCTTGAGGATGGGAAATCTGCATAGAAAATAAATAAATTAAATAGAATGGATTCAATAATATCAGTAGGAAGCCCCTAAAAGGCCTCAAATCTGAATTTTAACTCAACAATAATAACTAATTGGTGTTTCTGAACAGATTTTAATCCGTTAAAGATCTAATATGATTTCTCGGAGCTTTACTTAGTTGATTCATGCAAACACACATCTAGCAAGTCTGGGGTTCACAGTACTTGCAATCCTTTCCTCTATCCTCAGGCTGTGGCCTACTTTATATTTAAAAAAAAATCAAATATGTTTTGCAAAAATTAGATCTTCACTTATGCCATTACAAACCGAAAACTCCTCTCCTTTCAAAAGTCAATAGAGCAATTTATTTGTCTAAGAAGATGAGGATGAAAACTCAAATAAGTCCTTTTCGAGACTAAGGGCAGGCCAAGAAACCACAAAGGCAATAATGTTGGACATAATTTCGTACATGCAACTCTTATATGGTCCAGAATTTAAAACTTTCAACTTGTTTATCCATTTTACTTTCGCTTACTTTTGCATTCTATTTTCTAAACTACTCTACATCCAAACATGACTTTTTTATTTTTTCTTTTGCCTAGAACCAAACATGATTATATAGTCCCCAAGCCTTTAGCTTAGTGGTTAAAGACGCTTGAGGAAATATCAAGGGCCAGGTTTCAAATCAGACCCTTCTCTCTCCATTGCTTGTACCAGGCTTTGACTTCATGATGTAACAAAAACAAAAACAAAAAAATAAGCTACAGGCATCATATAGAAAATGAGTAAAGCTATGACACATAAACACAAAATTCTAGATCTAATTAAAAGTAATGAAAATTCAGCTACCTTAACCACTCAGACCAATAGTAACCCAACAACCATATATCCATTTTAAACCAAAAGAATGAAACTTTAAGAAGTTTCCATTAAAAAACAGGAGGGAAATTAACTTCAAAGGGTAAGCATACCTTCAGCTGATGCTCTTGTTGGTCCTCTGGAGAGCTTGAGATTCTTCTTTGGGTGACATGTATTCTTGGCTGACAATGCAGAAAATATTGAACTACGTGAAGCTGCAAAAGGATTTGATGAAATTCGAGGAATTAACGAAGCTTGAGGCTTTGCCAGAAGATTCAGACAAACCCCAAAAGTGAAGGCCATTTTTCAGTTCTTCACCGTTCAAAAAAACTTTGGCTTTCTGTTTTTCTTGATAAAGTTCGAGTCTTTTTCCACCGAAAATATTGGTAAATTTGGTTGAGTGGACATGGATATTTTCCCCTGTGCAGTGTATCCTTTTAGACCCCATGCATCAATATTGATCAACCAATCACTTACTACCACGTAAATATTTATTTAATATTTATTTTTTTATTTGTTTTTAATTTTTAGTTATCTTTTTTTTTCTCACTAATTTTCATTTCTCTTACAATTTGTTTGCTTTCTCTGAAGAAGGAAAAAAAAAATCAAAGACCAATGCCAAAATCGAAATTCTTATGTGTATTTTCCCTTTCTCTTCTGTTCCTTGTTTCTTTGGCCTGCTTTTCCGCCGCCGCTTCCTCTGTCTTAGACGACCTGCGCCTCGCCGGATCGAGTTTTCCATCGGTGCATACAAAGAAGTTGATAAGGGAGTTGAATTTATTTCCTAAAGAGGAGGTCAACGTTGTTGATGGAAGCCGGGTTTCGTTAATGGAGGATCCAAAGCTGGTCGAGAAGCGGTTTAAGTTCCCAAATTTGGCAGTGCCTGCCGGGATTTCCGTTGAAGATTTGGGTCACCATGCTGGGTATTACAAGCTTCCTAATTCTCATGATGCCAGGTAAAAATAAATTTTGGTTTTTTATTTAAGTTGGGATATTTGGTGGGTTTGATTTGGTGTTTAAAGTTGGTTGTTACAGTCCAATCAATTAGAGAATGGGTGCTTTTCAATGTGTCTATTTTTGGGTAATTTTATGTGGCTTTTTGGGTTTAATCTCAAAATCCCTGAAATTTATTTGGTTTCTGGGTGAAGTTCTGTGTGTAATTTCCCCTGATGCTTGGTAAAAATCAAAAGCCTTAATTTTTTTTTTTTTCACTAACTCTGTTTTAGTTAGTGAATTTGGTGATCTTACGTTTTTTATAGAGTTTAGTGGTTGCTGAACGTGTTGGCTTTTTTATATTATCTGCATGTGTAAGACAATCACAGTATTAATTAATTTTTAACATGTTTTGAATATTGCAACTTTGTTGTATTGAACCCGGAGTTTTAGCTCGGTTGGTCACGCAGCCACCCTTAAACTGTGTTATGGAAGTTCAAATTTTAGTACCCGCAACCTTTTCGCTATCTCAGACTATGAACTCCTTTCTACAAAATAAATAAATAAATAAATAAATTTTATGTGATGCTGCTAAATTAATTAACCTTCAAATTGTACATTAATGTTCTTTTATCAACTATTACAGTCAATTACTTCTTTATTTCTATGTTTTCAAAATTTTTCTGAAAAAACAGCTTCCTTGCTAGATATTTCCCCTTGCTTTTATATTGGTTTGATGTCTAGCTTTTTTTTTTGCAGAATGTTCTACTTCTTCTTTGAATCACGCAATAGTAAAATGGATCCTGTTGTAATCTGGTTGACTGGAGGGCCAGGGTGTAGTAGTGAATTGGCTTTGTTTTATGAAAATGGCCCTTTCACCATTGCTGATAACATGTCCCTTTTTTGGAATGAGTATGGTTGGGACAAGGTACTTTTCTTCTTGATTTTCTCTTCCTTCTTTTGTATTTGGTATTTGTGCAAGTAATATCACCCTGAATAATGATTAATTTTTATCTTTCTGATACTATGTAATATTAAAAATTTTAACTTCGAGATACTAATGATTGATGGACTCTTTTTCCATTTTGTGTTGTAGGCATCAAACCTTCTGTATGTGGACCAACCTATTGGTACTGGCTTTAGTTATATTTCTGACAGAAGGGATATTCGTCATAATGAAGACGGAGTTAGCAATGACCTATATGACTTCTTACAGGTTAGTATGTTTATCTTGGAAGAGATATTATAAATCTTTACTGTCTACTGAATTATTTCTTGTCAATATTGTGAAAAGTGAATGAACATCATTCAATATGTTGAGGAGAAACGAATAAATTTGTTGTTTGACTGATTCTCTCTTTATTATGTTAGGCATTCTTTGTGGAACACCCTGAGTTTGCAAATAATGACTTTTTTATAACTGGAGAATCATATGCTGGGCACTACATTCCAGCTTTTGCCACCCGAGTCCACCTAGGAAACAAAGCTAAAGATGGAATTCATATAAACCTAAAGGTATTTTACTAATTATATGATGTCAAGCTTCTAAATATTATTTTAGTAATTTCTCAAAGTTACAACTTGTCTGGAATCGATTCCTTTTGCTTACTTCCAACTACAATGCGGTTAACAGGGATTTGCTATTGGTAATGGCCTGACTGACCCTGCAATCCAGTATAAAGCTTACACAGATTATGCTTTGGACATGGGGGTAATCAAGAAGATTGACTATGATCTGATCAACAAGCTGGTTCCAGTTTGTGAACTGGCAATAAAGCTTTGTGGTAATTTTGCATCTGAAAGGGCTTCCTCTTTCCTGTGATCATTTTCTACATTTTTTATCTCTGTTTCAAATTTCAAAGCCTGGATATATTAGTTGATGCTTTTTTTCAATTATAAGATATATCACAGATTGAATCATTGCTGCCTATCTTCTCAATACTTTTTTTTAAAAATAAAATAAAATAACTTTTCAGGCACTGATGGTACAATCTCTTGCATGGCTTCATATTTTGTCTGCGATACCATATTCGGTGGCATCATGGCACTTGCTGGCAATATAAATGTAAGAGACATGAAATATTTATTTTTATTTTATTTGGTGTCTTGTTCAGGGAGAGGCTGACAGCGATGGCTTGTCATTTTTATACGTTATTATTTATTCAGCTATTTGCTTTGCTCTGGTGACACATTAAAATTACCTTTAATGCTAGAAAGTAGAAACACATTTTATAAATAATTTGCATATTTGGCTTGTGGTCATTCTTGTTTTGATTGTAATATCCTGTAAAGTAGAATGTGCTTCTTTCCCTAGCATTATCAAACTATCTTTGTATAAAAGGTTTGGAGAAATGTTTTTGTGCAAATAATGTAATTTGCCTGATTAGAAAAGAAAAGAAAAACAGTTTATTATAAGGTCTTTAATTGGTCTTCATGTCATTGATAATCTTCTTTTTTCAGAACTTTTTTTTTTGTGCAGGATACCTTGAAAGTTTTGGGTTAATATGTAATTTGACCCTTGAATTATACCACTTTTCACAATTTGGTACTTATAAAAAAAAAATCACGATTTGGTACCTTAGCTTTCATTCTGTCGTGTCATTTGCCTCAAACATCAACTCTGTTAATCATTTAAAAAAAAAAAGAAAAACTCTGTTAATAATATGCCAATGTGGCAAGAAATCAGGGAATAAAATCATGACACATGAGGCATTTTGATTGAGCAATAAATGTCACGTCATCACTTTATCTAACACCATCAGTCAATGGTGCAAAGTGCTTGACAGAAGCAAAGCTAAGGTACCAAATTGTGAAATTTTTCTGTAAGTATCAAATTGTGAAAAGTGATATAGTTCATGAGCTAATTTACACTTTAACTCAATTTATTTTCCTTTGTTAAACTAGTAATCTATAAAGAACTCTTTGCTGTGAATAAGCTGTTGAGAAGAGTAATCTCTTTCCTGATACATTATGATTCTTTGAATAAAATTTGAGTAAGCACCAATTTTTTCTGACTGCAGTACTATGACATCAGAAAGAAATGTGAAGGGAGCCTTTGCTATGACTTCTCAAACATGGAGAAATTTCTGAACAAGAAATCTGTTAGGGATGCCCTTGGTGTAGGGAATATAGACTTCGTGTCCTGCAGCACTACAGTTTATCTGGCCATGTTGGTCGACTGTATGAGGAATCTTGAAGTTGGCATTCCCGCTCTCCTTGAGGATGGAATCAAGCTTCTTGTATATGCTGGGGAATATGATCTCATCTGCAACTGGCTTGGTACATATTTTCTGTTTAATATGTCAGATAAGAGCATATTATACCGGATAATGAATTTGTATCTGCTCAAATTATTGTACCTGAACAGGCAATTCAAGATGGGTTCATGCAATGGAATGGTCTGGTCAGAAGGAGTTTGTAGCATCTTCTGAGGTTCCTTTTGTAGTTGATGGCTTAGAAGCAGGAGTCTTGAAAACTCACGGACCGCTTGGTTTCCTTAAGGTCTTCTTCTCTCTACCAACTATATCCGTATCTCTAATCAAGCTATAGTGAACAATTGCAGCCGGTGCTGATATAGCTGTATGGTAATGTAACAGGTTCATGATGCGGGTCACATGGTTCCTATGGACCAGCCCAAGGCAGCATTGGAGATGCTGAAAAGGTGGACAAAGGGTACCCTATCTGAAGTTTCTGATTCAGAGAAACTGGTTGCTGAGATGTGATTTCCATCACCTCTACTGCTTGCATCCAATCTAGTTGACCTTAGAATGGCAATAACCATAGTAAAAATCTCCACGGTTTCTGCATCAACCCTCTCCCCTAAAAAAAGAGTTTCTTTGTATGCCTGTAAATATCTGGATGTGGATGCAATAGAATCCTGGTTATCTTGGTTCGTTTTTATTTTTAAGATAACCTAATGAAATTAGAGTTTTCTGTATTCCTTTTGTCTGTTAATTTGGTAATTTGTGTATTTATGCTATTTATTTTGCATTTAATGTGTAAAACACAAAAATTAACGTGTTATAATTAATGTCGATGAGTTAAACATAAAACATATATTTTTTATTTTTGTCAAATTTATATTCAATATTTATTAAAATTTAAATCGTGTTGAATTTGTATTTTTATATATTGTTTTATATTCGTAATTATTTAATATCGTAATATTATGTCATGTTTAAAATTATGAATAAAAATTGTGTAAAAACCGATTATTTTTGTTACAATCTTACAATTATTTAATTATAATAGAAAAAAATATGTAATAATTTTAGTGTTTATAAAAGTGAACTTCATATAATATTTTAAAAATTTTTTATATAATTTTAAATTATGATTTATTAATTAATCGTAATATAATAATTAAATGGGAGGCAAATAAATTTTGATTTTAAATTAAAATAATTTAGGATATTTCAGTGCAAAAATAAATCCAAAATAATTAGATACTCTTCTTACTCAAATTGAATTTTAATTTTTTTTTTTATTTTAACACGTTATTCAAAACCTTTGAATATGTAAAGGTTCTAAGGCAAAATTAGTAAATTTTGAATTTCGTAAATTTTTAAATATATATTTTTTATAATTTTAATTAATATAATATTTCAAAAAATAATAATCAAAACTAAATTCCTTAAAAAGAACCAATAAAATGAGAGGTCTGTAGGTTGAATAGAACGAATTATTGAAATTGAACGGCGATAATCTCTAGCGATGGCTCGCCCGTCGGGAACGAGAACAACAAGCAGGGCATCATCATCGACCTCCTCCTTGACCACCACCGTGACAATCGAGAACAACACGGGCGCCTCGTCCTCGTCGCAACCTCAAGAAACCCTCGTCCTCGAACTCCGCCCAAGGAAAAAGAAAGTTACGTGGAAAAAAGGAACCGTGGACAACGAGTTCATGAACAAGAAAAGCTCCAAGATCTGCTGCGTTTTCCATAAAGAAAAGCCCTTTGACGAAGATGACAGTGATGATGAGGGTCATGACCATCATCACCATCCATCCAACGGCCATGATTCCTCCAAGGAGCGCTGCAGGCCTGACAGCAGTGCCAGCACCAGCACCAGCGCCTGATTTTGTTTTGGATATGTGTTTATGGTCTTTATTATGGATGCAATGAACAAACTATAGTGTTGATTTCACTGGATATTTTCTACCTTGCGTCATTAATATTATATATTTTGTTTTTAGATTCTTCAATTGTTTGTTTTGATTCTGAATAATATATACTATTGGTATGATTAATTGACATTTGATAGCAAAAGATGAACTTAATCAATGTTGCTGCTGAACCTGGATGTTGCTCAATATTTGGGGATAACTTCAAGGGTTGTCATTTTGTTTCTGCTTATGAAATCTTTTTTCTATTGGTTGATGACCCAACTTTCCACATTTTATTTCTGCTTAAGAATTCCAGCATCAGGACTAAAGGCATGCTTCATAACTCTGTTTTGCATGCATGTTGAATATTCTGTTTCATTAGGAAGGGTACATAGCAAAACTATGTGATTTGCCTAACATTGTGTTTTATGGTAAAAAAAAGTTGTCTTGTCGGATATTCTGTTTCATTAGGAAGGGCAAAAAAAGTTAGAGGCAAAGTTGTATAAAATAACTGTAAGGCTTGTGTTGTTATATGGAATTGACTATTGAGCTCTTAAGAAACAACATGAGAAAAAAATGAGTGTAGCTGAGATGAGAATGCTTAGATGCTTGTGTGGTAAGATTGGAAGAGACAAAATAAAAAATGAAGAGATTTGAGGAAAATTAGGAATAGTCTGAATTGAAGAAAAGATGAGAGGGTCGTTTGAGATGGTTTGGACATGTGAAACGTAGGCCTATCTTTGCACTAATTAGGAGAAATGAGTTTCTAGATTTAGGAGAAACTAAAACTTCTAGAGGTAGACCATGAAAGACAATGCAAGTAATAAGAAATGATATGAAGGTTAAGGAAGTAAATGAAAAGGTTGTTATTGATAGAAATGATTGGTGCAAGAAGATTCAAAACTACAACCTAATATGATTCCTTTTTTGACCTTTTATATAGCCGGTCCGAGAGTTATAAGATATAAGGCTTAGTTTGTTGTTATTGTTGTATTAGAAAGGATATATAGCAAAACTATGTGATTTGCCTGACATTGTTTTTTATGGTAAAAGAAAGCTTAGGTGAGGGGAGGCTATCCATTCTAGGGTGAGGGCATACCACTGGTTTGGTGAGGATTTATATTGGATTTACAGATCATACATCTAAAAGTCCATCTAGAAGAATTGCAAGCAGTGAAAATCGAACTTAAGCCTTATTTGGACTCTACTTTTAGACAAACTGAGTCTCTAGTTACAAAATGGAGTCGGAAATAGCAAGAAAGAGGACACTATCCCAGTTAGCTGTTGGTAGGAGAGTGGGGGAATCAAATTAAGAACATGTAACTCACTATCCTGAAATATTGATTCCATTTTTATTTATAAATATATTAAGCCTTGAAAACAGGACTTTGATGTTGGGTGTCTGTCTGTTTTTCTACAATTCAGATTCAAAATGGCCTCATTTTTGGATGCTGGCTGGCTTCAATGCAGTTTCCTTGGTGTGTCTGTTTATCTATATCTTTTATTGCTTTTGGTTTTTTCATTGACAGACTCCACTTTGCCTCTAGTTTTTGTTTTCTGCTGTTGCTATTGCTGCAGTGGCGCTTTATTGATCTATTGAGAGGGGTGCTGTTGGTTCCAAAGAGTTAAGGGGGTGGGTGAGAAGACTGTCGAGAGAAGGGGAGTGAGGGAGGGAGGAGATACGGAGATCAGAAACGGGAATAGGGGATATGGTGTCAGGAATCTGTCAGCTGTCAGGGAGGGGGTTAGAAAGAGATGGTGAAAGATCAGTAAAAAAATGGAAAAGGTTAACAAAAAGGAGAAGGGTTGAGAGGAGGTGTGTAGTTTCTAAAATGTAGGGTTGGCTGGTGAATTGTGAGGCTGAGGGAAAGAAGAGATCAGAAGATTGAGAGGATGAAAGTGGAAAAGATTGAGAGGAGAGATCAGAAGATTGAAATGGCAATTCCAGTATTTATTAATTTAAGAATCATATTGTCAATAGCATGCTTTCCAGATTACAGCTATCTTGTGATGCTGTGCTAGATTAGTTAAACCTTAAAATTGTGCATGCATTCTTCTTTTAATGTTCTATTATCAGTTTTTCCAGTCAATGACTCTTTTTCTTCCATGTTTTCAAAAAATTTTCTGCAATGAGGGAAAAAAATTTTCAAGTAACCCCCTTTTATGGTTGGCTAATCAAAATGTGTAAGCTGCTTACTTGCTAGATCTCTCCCTTGCTTTTCCCACTGGATGTTACCTACATTTTGCTTCCCAATTTGGTTTGACTTCTTGATGTTTTTGGCAGAATGTTCTACTTCTTTGAATCACACGATAGCAAAGGGAACCCTGTTTTAATCTGGTTTACTGGATTGTTGTATCCATAAGATATATGATAAATTGAATCATTGCTGCTCATCTCCACAATGCCTTTTCCTCTTTTTTTTTTTGGAATAATTTTTTTTTCAGGCACTGATGGTAGAATTTCTTGCGTGGCTTCATATTTTGTGTGCAATACCATATTAAGTGGCATTGTGGCACTCGCTGGCTATACAAATGTAAGACATGATTTTTTTTCTTTTTTAATTTTATTTAGTGTCTTGTTCTGCGAGAGCCATAGCTTGTAATTTTATTTGCTTTGTTATTTATTCAGTTATTTGCTTTGCTCAAGTGACACCTTAAAAATTACCTTTTAATGCTTAGAAACACATTTTGTGAATTATTTGCATAAACGGCATGTGATCTTCTTGTTCTGGTTGTAACATCTTGTCAAGTAGAATGTGCTTCTTTTCCCTGGCATTAAGAAACCGTCTTTGTATAAAAATCTGAAGAAATTTTTCTGTACAAACAATGTAATTTGCTTGGTTATTAAAAAAAAAAAAAGAAGAACAGTTATTAGTGATAGAGTAAGGCCTGAAATTGGTCTTAATGTCATTGATATTCTTTTTTTCATAATTTTTTCTTTTTGCCATGTTAAACCACTTATCTGTAACTAACACTTTGCTGCCAATAAGCAGTTGAGAAGACTAATCTCTTTCTTTATACATTATGATTCTTTGAATAAAATTTTACATGCACCAATGTTTTCTGTTTGCAGTACTGTGACATTAGAAAGAAATAAGGGAGCCTTTGCTATGATTTCTCGAACATGGAGATATCTCTGAACAAAAAATCTGTTAGGGATGCCCTTTGCGTTGGGAATATAGACTTTATGTCCTGCAGCCCTACAGTGTATCAGGCCATGTTGGTCAACCGGATGAGGAATCCCGAAGTTGGCATTCCTGCTTATCGAGGATGGAATCAAACTTCTTGTGTATGCTGGAGTATATAATCTCATCAGCAACTGGCTTGGTAAGTACTTTTTGTTTCACGGGATGAGTGCATGTTATGCAGGATAAATCTAGCTAATTACTATGTGAATCTGAATTTGGTCATATTATTGCACTTGAACAGGCAATTCAAGATGGGTTCACGCAATGAAATGGTCTTGTCAGAAGGAGTTTGTAGCATCTTCAGAGGTTCGTTTTGTAGTTGATGGCTCAGATGCAAGGGTCTTGAAGACTCAAGGGCCTCTTGTTTCTTAAGGTCTTCTCTCAATGGCAAATCTCAATGGGAAGTTTATTCCACTTTTAAGTTTTAACACTTCTTTTTCTCTTATATTTGTCAACATTTTTTTTATAATTTTGTTTCACATTTAATTTTTTTTATTAAAAGTTTTAAATAATTTATTTTTTAACAAAACCAAATTGTTTATTATTTATTATTGGACATAAAAAATAATTTAATAATTTATAATTATTTATCCATTTCATAAATATTAAATAGCTTAAATTTTTTTGTTATATATAATTTTAATCTAATTTTTTAATGATCATTTCTATTTTCATTACAATTTATCTCATCGTTACCTTTTCTTTTGCATCAAGATATATATATATATATATATATATATGTATCACAATTGATTTTAATTTTATTGTTATATAACTAATTTTACTTTTATTATAGTTGTCAATCTTATCATATATTCAAATGGATCTTTAAAAAAATTGGTTATTGAAATGTAGTTTTATACTGAAATGTAATTTTCATTACTCCACTAAAACGAGAATAATTATTTTTTAAAAAAAGTAATCATAGTTTAAGAATAAAAAAATTATAGATGTTAAATTTTAAATTTTAAATTTTTTAAATATTAATTTTTAAAAATAACTATATAAATCAAATGAATTAAAACATCTTTATAATTTTGCTTCCATTGTTTCCAAAATAACTAAAATCAATTGTCAAATAAGTTTGTCTCTAAGGTTGAGCTCTCAATTTCCAATGTCATAATTTTTCATGCTTCTTGCTCAAATTGAATTTCATATTTTTATTTTAACACTTTTATTCAAGTAATTTGAACTGTCACATTAAAATTATAAGAATTATAAAGGGTTGTTGGCGAGGCAAATTGTTTTTCCAAAAGAAAAGCACTAATTAACTAATGTTCCTATAAATTTAAGAATTTAAACGGCAACCTTCGGCCAATCTACATTTTTTTTTTTTTGGAGCACTTTCTTCGCTTCAAGGGAGAGTTTGACTCAAGTGGTAAGAATTCAAGGAATACGAGCTCCTATATGACTCAAGTGGTCATCAGCGTCCAAACATGTCCTTAATTACTTGTTCAGCTATTCATGTAATCGTTGATAAGATATAAAAGAGAGAATTCAGTAAGGCAGATAACATTTTCAAGTCTCTACGCTTATTACTTTTTTAACTCTTCTCCTCGGCTTCTTTACTTCCTTCTGTATGGATATTTGATTCAGTTGAGCATTGAAATGTATTTCGAAATTTTAATTCTGCTGCTTTCGAATTCCTTTTTGACAAGTTTGAGACGTTTACTAGCTCAAATCTTTAATCAATTCTATATTCACTGAACTCAAAAATGCATGAACACGAACCCAAAATAAAATTTTAAAAAATAATTTTATCAATAATTTCTTTTTAAAAAATTAATCATTGAATGTTAAATTTATAGAGCTACTCTATTTAGTTATATAAAAGGTTACGTCATGAATAGCTCTTAAAATATAATAAAATATTTTTATAATAATTAAATATAAAATTTTTTTAATATAATATTTAAATTATAAATTTATTAATTAACATAATATTTATTTATTTATATACTTAATTCACTTGAACTTCGAAATGTGTTTCAAAGTCCTATGCTTTCAAACCTTTTTTTCTTCTTTAACAAGCTAAATACATTTACGAACTTAATCCCTAATCAGTATTGTTTTCACTAAATTCAAAAATATATTAACACAAAGCCAAAATAGAATTTTGAAAAAAATTTTTATTAATAATTTGTTTTTGAAAAGTTAATTAATAAATGTTAAATTTGTAGAGTTACTCTATTTATTTATATAAAAAGAATTAATATCATGAATAATCTTTTAAAATATAATAAAATATTTTATGTGATATTTAAATTTAAAAAATATTTAATATAATATTTAAATTATAAATTTATTAATTAATATAATATTTTGATATCTATTTGTACACTCGAGTTACTTAAACGTCAAAACATATTTCAAAATTTTAATTTTAGTGTTTTTGAACCTTTTTCTCTTGGATAAGTTTGTCACGCTCATCAACTCAACCTCTAGTCAGTTCTGTTTTCATTGAATTCATAAATGCATTAACACAAATTCAAAATAGAATTTTGAAAAATAATTTTATCAACAATTTATTTTTGGAAGGTTATTTATTAAATGTTAAATTTGTAGAACTACTATATTTATTTATATAAAAAAGATTAATATTATGAATAATTTTTAAAATATAATAAAATATTTTATGTGATATGTGAATTTTTAAAATTTGTAATATGATATATAAATTATGGATATATTGATCATTGTGATATTTATAAATTTATTTATTTATTATGTGTTATCATTTAAAATTTATCATATTAAAAATAAATATAATATTAATAAATAAATTTATAATTTAAATATTATATAAATTTTTTTTAAATTTTAAATAATATATTAAATATTTTATTATAATTTAAATAACATTCACGACCTTAATGCTATAAAAGGAAATTTTGAACTTGAATTACAATAAAAAAATTTACCCTTACTTTATCATGTATCTAGGTTTTCGTTGGTAAGGCCCGTATTATTTTGTGACAGAAAAGTCCTTCCCTTGCTAGTTTAGGAGTAGTCTAATACACACCAAGCGAGTGGCAAATTAAAGAACTTTCAGTAAGAATGGAAACCATCATAACAAAAATTCTAGAATAACCTAGATAGGCTCGGGAAGACTCGGGCGACGCGTGCAGCTGTCTCCTGGTGACGCAACCCCATGCGAAACAACTAAAATCTACCACGTCATCACCCAAAAATTATAAATAAAAATAAAATTAAAAATCCCAAAACAGATATATTTAAGTATCTCCACCGCCGTTTTCTTTCCTTCTCAAACACTTCCTTCACTGCTCGACTCCTCTTGGAAAAACCTCTGTGATTCTTTTCCTTTCTTTTCTTTTTCTTCGTTTTAAGGTCTTTGTTTTGGTTTTAGATTCAGATTTTTTGGGGTTTAAAGCGCTTAAAAGTTAATCTTTTTGGTTTTAGTTTCAGATTCTTTGGTGTTTAAACCGAAGAGGGTTTCAAATATATTTTTCTCTGTAACTTTTCCTGGAAATTTTGCTTGGAAATTCTGCACTATTGATATAAATTTGGAGAAATTACAATATGGGTTTTGTTGGAGATCAAAATCCCAAGGTTGGTCTTCCTCTGTTTCGGGATTCTTCTAGAAAGAGGAAGAGACGTAATGGGTTATCAGTTGCTGATAGTCTCAAGCTCTGGACTGAAAATAATGGGGCCAAACAAGCTCGTAAAGCCCCTGCCAAGGGCTCCAAAAAGGGATGTATGAAGGGTAAAGGAGGGCCTCAGAATCAGAATTGTAACTACAGAGGTGTTAGGCAGAGGACTTGGGGTAAATGGGTGGCTGAAATCCGAGCCCCTAACGGAGGGAAAAGACTTTGGCTTGGTACTTTTCCTACTGCATTCGAAGCTGCCTTGGCCTATGATGAAGCTGCGAAGATGATGTATGGCGAAAACGCTATCTTGAACATGCCTCGTATGTTGGATTCTGACTCAGTTGCAACTACCTCACATGCCTTTTCTGACTCCATGACTGCATCAAGCAACTCTGAAGTTTGTGGCGAACATGTGGGTGGTGAAGGTGAAACGACAACAATGACGAATACCCACTTTCTTCCTGTTGATTCTGAAGCTCCATCGACGAGTGCAGCAATGAATTTGACAAGGGATGAAATTCAAGATGGGAGTGATGTCAAAGATGAAGTGAACAACGAGGCAAAGCCAGAAGATGAGTCTACGAAGGAGACGGATTATAGCTGGCTTAACATTTTGGAGTTCATGGATGATGTTCCAATGGATTTTGGAGGGAATAGTGAATGGGATGGTCGACTTTTTCTCAGCGAGGAAGAGTGTTTTAACATAGATGAGCTGCTTATTGGTTGACTTGTACAAATTTTATACACATTCTATTAATTCAAATTTTTTTAAGTGCTTAAAAATAATAAATTGTAAGTGTTTAAATTACTAAATTATTAGAATATTATCTTCAACATTGAGAATCAAATCCTAAAATTCTTCTATTCTGAGCTGACAATAAAGCTTTTCATTGATTTTTTCACTATTCCATTGAATTTTATCTAAAACATGGACTTATGGGGAAAGCATTTATTTTTCTTTATCCGGAAAGGCTTGGTAAAAAATGGTTTTGGTTAAGTGAATGGTGAATTCTAGAAAATAAGGGTGAGCTTTTAATTAAGGGTATAATTGAGTTGATATATTTTTGCATTTGAGTTTAATACAATTCAAAATTTTAAAACTCAAAATTTAAATTAAGTTGAATTGAATTTAAATTCACAAATTTAAGATTTAAAATTTTATTTAAATTCGATTGAATTTCAATTTTATGTTTGAAGCTCATAATTTAATTGAACTTTGATCGAATTTCATTTATACGATTCAAAATAATTATTTAATTGAACTATTAAAATTTGACTCACTAAATTTAATAAAATTATAAATATTAACATTAAATATTATATTTTTATTATTTATTTAAATATTAAATATATTTTAAAATTTTTGATTAGGTTTATGAACCTCTTAAATCAAACATTGAATTACTTAAACTCAATTTTGACTTATTTCTCAAATAATTCGAATTAAACTGAACTTAATAATGATCTAATTGAATGATTCACATATTATTTAGATACATTTACACCTCTAATCTATATCACAATGAGGTGGTTTTCTAACAGTACTTTATTAGAGTAAAAAGGGTTTTAAGTAAAATACTAGTTAAATTTTAATGAAGACAAAATTAAAACTTTCTGAACTTGCATAATGACATAATATTATCCAAAAACAAAAGGTAGAATTTCAGTGCAGCAATTGCCCCCAATGCATCCAATGTCAATCCCTCTCTGATGGTATGGTGGGTTCAAAGCTCTCCTTCAAACACAACCAATGAGCTCAAAACGCTCTTTAATAATACAAAGCAGAGTTTACTTGATAGATAGCAAAATCACACCAAAAGGAAGTATGAGTTTATGATCTAACTCGGGCAAGTCGAGCCCTTATCTCTTCTAACTCTTCCTCATCATCTGCACCCTCCGCTACCGCTTCTTCCTGTAATATTTAAAAGCAAGTTAGTTCCTTCAGCTTTTGGCAATAACAAGTAAAAAGGGGATGAAGTTTTGCATACTTCATGGGAAGTGCTTTCTCTTTGGGCAGGTACCCTCACTCTTTCCTTCCGAACGGCTTCAGGAAGCTGTGCGGCAGTTTCACCAGCTATTTCTGAAAGAACCTTATCGACTTCTTCTTCAGTCTCTTCTTCAATGTCTTCTGAATCCAATGCTGTGTCGACAGCATCATTTACTATTTCTTCAATAACCCCAGCCTAGAAACCAATATATGACAGAAGTGTAAGAGAAATTGACACAGAAAATGGTTTAACAGGGGCATTATCTTGAATCAAGAATTAAAAAACTCAAAATAGAAAAGAAAAGGATAATGGACTGGCCAAATATGTAGCATGCAAATGCTTCTCACATGCCACTTAAGTCCCACATACTTTTGGGTTAGTCCCTAAACTATATCACTTTTCACAATTTGATATTTATAAAAAATTTACAATGAAGTACTAGAACTTTGTTTTTTTTTCAAGTATTTTATCACACACACTAATTCTGTTAACAATAAATTAATGTGGTAAAAAACAATCGACAATATCTTGACTCATGGTACACTTTTATTGGTCAGTATTTGCATGTCAACATTTTGACTAATGGTGTTAGTTAATGGTGCAAAATACTTGACGGAATCAAAGTTCGGGTACCTAATCGTGAATTTTTTCTATAGGTAACAAATCGTTAAAAGTAGTACAGTTCAAGAGCCAAATTACATATTAACCCTATACTTTTAGAAGGGGATGTTCATCAGTTATGTTACTAAATAGTACCAATTTGTTCTTTGAATGCTCTTAACCCCTATCCCACTTGGCTGAGCTGCAAAAGAGGGAATAGCCCTCATCCCCATCTCATAAACAGCTAAACTGCAAATACACACCAGCCTCCCCCACCAGAATTTAAGGCAGGATTTTTATATCCATATTATTTCTCCCAGGAGAGTTTTTGTGAACTTGATAGTACATCTCATTTTGAAAGACAATGAAAGAAAAATCGAATCTCAAATGTTGTAAACAGAACCTTTGAACTAAAGTTTACATGTTGAAAACATCAGATTTCAATTGGACATATCCAAAAATGAATTTCATGACCAAGTTTACTTCTGTGCACCTTTCAGCCAAAAAAGCACCAATAAAAAACCAAACTTGAGGCAACATAGCAACTTTAAACAACAATAGTTAAATATCAAGTGCTCTTAATATTTTAATGTCATTTCTAATGTGTTGAGAAGACAGACATTACGAACAACTGAAACAGGAATATTGCTGACAAGGAAGACAAATATTATGAAACAAAAAACGACACATAAATGCAACAAAAATAAAAGCTTTAAACTTTAAAATTACCTTGGTCATTTCTTTGCTAAATTCTTGCATCGTGGCAGCCATTTCTGGAGCTTTCATGAGGTTGTTTACAAGTTTCATGACTTCAGCACTCTTTGACAAATGACCAACAGTACGAGCAATTGCTTCAAGTCCATTACAGTATAAGAAAATTTAGAAAGAAAGGTTAGAAAGGCGCAGAAGAGATCTATGTCAAGCAGTTCTTCCCAAAGAATACAAGCATGAAGTAAAAGGAAAAAAAGTTGTTTCTGTACGATACCCCTTATTTTGATCAAGGCTTTCCCAAATGACATCTTATCCATCAAGCCAACTTAAGACTCAAAGGGGATGGAAAGAATTTGGACAACCACCACTTCAAGCAACAAATCAAGGCTTCATTGGGGCAGACAGAAGTTGAAAGTGAAAATTTTCAAATGCTCAAACAACAATGATTTTACAGGGGAAGTTTTCAAAGGACTTGAAATGACTAAAAACTCTTTTATTAAGAAAGATTTTGCAATCAATCATTCCTGTTCTTCTCCCACAATAGGTACCTCCTTTAATTGAGATCTGGAAAGAAAGCTCCAGAACATTGACGTTAATAAGTCCTCTTACACTTTGAAAGCTGAATCCATTGGCAGAGAAAGGTGTAAACATAACAAACATGGAAAGCAAAACGATTTCCCAGAGCATTCTGATATGAAAATTTGTTTTTATCAGTCTCTTCTGAGTCTTCAGCGAAAATTTTACCAATAAAATGGTTAAGGAAAATTTCCATAGCGAAAAACTAGATTTCCATAACCTTTGAAATACCAGGATCATTTTGTTTCTCTATCTTTCTAACTATTAAGATATGTAGATGCATAGTTTCCCTAAATATAAAAAATAAAAAAATGATACTTCAGTAACATAATGCATGAATTTCAGATGCATAAGTTGTCATACCAACACTTTCTCCAAGGTGCATTGATATTGAATTAAGCTGGGCTTTATTCTCATATAGACGGTTCACAGCTTTTCTTGACATTACAATTTCTTTTGCAAGTGCCTGAAAATATAAAACAAAGATCATCACCATGTGAACGTACTGAAGAGATGATCCATCAATAACAACGAGGCAAATGCAAAATTACAAACATACAAACATGCGCATAAAGGAAATAGATAAATATTCACATATAAAAGACACTTATGCTAGGGCCACACAGGCCTCAGTTGATCAGACCACCCAACTAAAACACGAGCACTTCTTGATGCTAAAAATCTACATCTTTCCTGTTTCCAGTTAGCAGTTCCCACTAATAACGAATCAAGAGTTTCTCCAGCTTCCTGATCCTAGGTTTAGTTTCTCAAATTTAGAAAACTTACTGCTGCATACCTAAGATCTGCTAGTATTATGATATTCAACTAGCATCCTTTTCATGCATGCCCAATCATCTCATTCAAAAGGCATAAACTCCAATCTGCTTCAGCAATTTAAAGACCTAAAATTACTCTATATTAAGAGTAGGATCCTAGTATAGTAAACTTAAATTTACAAGGTATAGCAAAACAAAAGTTAAAAAGCTAAGACTTGCTATTAATAAATGATAAGAGGTAGTACTTTCCAGATGGAATTTCATGAAAATCAGTCAAAAAACAAAAGAACAAGTAAATAAATTTTCACTAGAAAATAACAAAAGCCACTTTGACAACAAGATCAATCAAATAGTCATTATGCCTTAATGATCTTTAATGTAATTATATAACAACTTTTCTTCATAATCATACCATTCTAACCAAAAATAAAAATCAAATTGTTCAACAACTATATCATGTTCAACGCATTTAACTAAAGTTCCAAGAAAAATTAAGATTTTACCTTGGCAGAACCGATGTCATTTCTCTTGGCAGCTTCTCTAATTGCTTTCTGTACACTTTTCTCCTCCCTCTGAATATCTAAAACAAAAACCACATAAAAACCCTATCAATTTTCTTATCATAAAATTTAGACCTAAACCATAAAAAATAGAAAAAAAAAAAAAGCATTATTGTAAACCTCAAATCTCAACTACCCATTAAGTCAAAAATCAAAATTATCACCAAAAAACAGTCTTTAAAAAATTTGCCCCAAAAATTAAGAAGAAAAGAAAGTAACTTGCCTCTGATTTGGCGTTCAATGTTACGGCACTCTTGACGAAGTTTTCTTTGCCAATCTCGTAATAATTGTTGTGGGTTTGGCTTTGGTTTCAACATATTCTTAAATTTATCCATTTTTTGCCTCTTCTCTCTAAATTACGAGGCTTTTTTTTTTCTTTTGTTTCTCTTTCTAGCGTAAAGAAAAAACAAAGGAGAGAAAATTTTGCTAGGAAAACGAGTAAGACTTTTCTCTAAAGTGGAGGAAAGAAAATGGCTTGGGATCAAAGCGTTGTTTTCTCTTTTCTCGAATTTTCTTTTCCGTGTGTTTCCCCATAATTTTTACTTTACTTTTTTGTCTTTTGTATTTTCCGGAAAAGTAGGTAGTTAAAACAGTGTGCGGCCGTGCAGTAGGCAACGACGTCATCTCTGTTCACCGCGTTAGATTTTTTTCTCTTTCCTTTACAGAATGTGACAGTGGCACAGAAATTTGGCTTAATCTAAACTAACTTGTTACAAATTTCACTATTTTTTATTTTGAGAAGGCAATTTCAAATCTTGAATAGTGACATGAATTTCACGATTTTTAAGGGATTTTACATATGTAAACAACGAAGAAAGAAAGGATTTAATGAAATAGTTACTTTGGTGCCTCTTTCGTTAAAATTATTTTATGTAATTATATTATTAAAAAATTAATTATTTAATTTATATTACATGTAATAATTAAAAGATGATTATTTATTTTAATAGATTTTTGCATTTGATGCGCGATAAATAATTAATTTTTTTAATAAATGATTACATGATATGATTTTAATGAAAATTATTTATTGATGTGAAATAATTATTTTTTATAATTTATTTTCATGGAAAAGGGTAGAAAAATAGCGCGCTTTATTGAAAAAAACTCCCTTTGTCTTTTTTTTTTGTTCATTTTTTTGAATGTCTCAAAATTAATTTTTTTATATTTAAAATTCTTACTTTTTATATTTTAAAATTATTTTATGATTTTTTTTTACTTTTTGACATTAAAAATGAAACTTTAATTATATAAAAAAATTTTTAATTTTAATATTAAATATATTAAAGTGAAAATTTTTTTAAAAAAATTATGTGAAAGACAATACACGACAGATATTTTGAAACGAAAAAAAATAATAGAATGAAATCATATTACAAATAAGCTTTTATAAAAAAATAATAAAAAACTTCCTGCACTTTCCTCCTAATCAACTTATATAGGCACCAATGACATGAAATGAACTAATTCATTCATTAATATTCAAATGCAAAACTTAAGTGAGTTTAAACTCGGAGTTTAAATTTAATCCAATAAATTTATCGCAAATACTTTTAAAAAACGATATCTAATAAATTTAGAATTCAAATTATAATATTTGTAATCTCTTTATTGATCACTAAATTATGATATTTTTTGTATAATTATAAAATAAAAAATAAAAAAAAAACTTAAGTGAGTTCATATCAAGGGGGATTCGAAGTAAACTGCCACGAGATTAGATCATGAACCTAGCACTACTCAAGTACTCATCCCAATGCTAATGAAAAAGCAAATATACTCATAATTTCTTAATTTGTAGAGTTCCATTAATTTATAGTGAGTCTAATACATCAATTTCCTTTTGCTACCCAATACTGTTTACACTTTATACTATGTCAAAACATGAGTTTAATATGTCTAATGGGGAAAAGACAATCCAGGCCTTCAACAGTCAGTCAATCTGAAGAAGAATGGAGGCTTTTGATATGTGCAATTTCTGAGACCAAAAAAATAATTTACAAAAATCAGCTGTAAGAAACAAGTTCTCCCCTGTCTAACAGTCTCCATGCCATTACTTGATCATCATCACTGATTATCTAATCAAAGAGACCATCATCGTGCCAAATATCAACTAGAAAATCTACCATCTCCTGCATAACATAACATGGATCAAGTAAACAGATATAAGAAGTTTCCAAAACAATAAGAGTTATTGCTGTTTCTTGTCATGTTATTTGTTTGTGATGCTATTCATGTGGCTGCAGTAATTCATTTGAACCAAGGAAATGGGATCTATCATTTCTTTTTTTTTTTTTTTTTTTGCATATATAAGCAACTACAACCTAACATGATTCCTTTTTTTGGCCTTTCATACAACCGATTCCAGAGTTATGGGATATAAGGCATAGTTTGTTGTTGTTATTGTATAAGCAACTACAAGGAGGGACGGTTTCAAATCTTATGTTCTTTTTTATACAAAGGAGGTTGTGGTTCAGGGAAAAGGGTTGCAGGAACAGCGATTTGAATCCTAGACCAACTGGATACGAGATCACATGAACCACCTAAGATAAGCTCCGGATTCTTCAAATCTTAAACGTTACTCCTAAAGAAAGATAACCACTACACCAAGGTTGAGTTGTTGGACCATGTCCATTTTATAATACTATAACACTGTCGAACAACCCTCCTCGGCATTCAAAAGTATGATAGACAGTTAGGATCTATTAATTTAATCTTTCATGTTAATTCTACGAAAACCTATCTATTCTTGATGCGCAGTTTGGCAATATACTTACTGGCAAAGGAATCGTCTCAGAAAATGGGTCATTAGTTAAGAGAAGCTCCTCATATGTTGTGGACCAGCTGCAACAAAAAGTTTTTGCAGATATTAACCACATTGTATTTGGGCAACTATAAGACAAGGTAAAAAGGTAAAATCTATATATCAAACAATTAATATCATATATCACACGAACAAATCAATCAGGAAGAGATATTCTTTATTTATTCATAAGATGTGTTATAAATTATATCATATTTATTCTATTTAAACCTACAAGTATATTGGAGTTTGAGAATCTATATCAATTAACATCAACAACACTGCTTTTTGGAGGAAACTATATCCGTCCAAGCAGTCACCTTATGATAAATATGGAACACAGCAATGAATGTGTGCCACCATACAAGTCATCTCACATAAAATGTCAGCAAGGTCTCCAGAAAACTTTCCTTTAGCATTGAACAATCATCTAAAAGAAACATTAAAATCATTGATTTTTTCAACAAAGTGATGTAGCAGTTAGGCAAACCCCCATTTCCCCCAACTACTGAAGCTAAGCCAAAATAGCTACTTCAGCTCACTATTTTATGGTTGAGTGGTTAGGGGTTCCTAGGTTTCGCCCAATACATCCCCTACCCAGACCATTCCAAGCATGCTTATCTATGCCAGGCCTAGCAAATCATGAAAAATTACCTTCCACAGCCTCCCAGTGGATTTGAACTCAAGACAATTAAGAGAGGAGCAAACTCTTTTACCACTTGAGCCAACATCCGTTGGTAGCTCACATTCCTAATTGCATATCGTGAAGAGAAAAAATCTGGCCAGCCAAATGTTCATACCCCTTCTTTGTACCAACATTTTAGTTCTCCCTAACCATTTTCCATAAAAATTGCAAGCATTTTCCATTAAATGCAAATTTATTACATTTTTCATTAAATGCAAATGTACCAACATTTCTTGTTAAAGAAGGGCTACAATATGGAAATTGTAAATATCTAGAGGCAATAATGATGCAATTCCAACTAGGGATTTTCCAAATGCAAATATGGTCTCTATCTCCCCCACCCAAAATAGTATGCAGTTGAGCAGTCATTGCATAGAAAGGAAGAAGATTGGGAGAACTGGTATACCTTATAACTGGATCCTTACTGATCTTTTGTGAATGTTGAGATTTATCCCCCACCCACCTTCTTCTGTTCTCATGCCAAGCAATTGCAGCTACATAATGGATTCAATTAGATTATGACTTCATGTTCAAAATATAAAAATATAACTATAGACTCCACTGAAAAAAAAAAAAAAAAAGACTGAACTAAAAAATACACCATGAGAAAACCACATCAAGCTTGAAAAGAAAAACCTTTAACACATTTATTGTTTACATCAGTCTCATTTTTATTTCTAAAAAGAATACTTCTATTTAATTTTTCTTTAGATATGTTTTTGTATTCAAACACATTTATTATTTATTTGCTTCCATAAGCAAAAAGCAAGTAGCAAAAAGTACTAATCAAACAGAGCCACAATATGTAAAAGCGCCTCAGTTGTAATCTTGCACTTCCTTTTAAATGGTGCCATTAGAAGGCCAGTACCTAAGTGTTTGGAGACAGAGAGAGCAATGGCTAATAAGCGATGTGCTCTGCAGAGGTAATAAAATAGAGATAGGGCAGGATCCATAGTGTCATATGAGGAACTGTCTCTCCAATTTCATGAAAATCTAGGGATTGACACTATTTTTGAAATGATATAGTTATAATCAGATAATGTCAGACAGCAAATCCTAAAAACACATTTGCACATCTATGTTGACTTTTCCCACAACTCACATCTAACTGGCAAACCCATAATTACAGGATAGTACATCAAGAGAACGAGTTCTGAAGAAATTGTAAGTAGAAATGACAAATGATGTAAACAATCTTTTGCAAATCAAATATAGAAGAAGATATAATTAGAATAGCTAAAATGACAAAAAAAATAGGTTGATAGAATTTGCTTCTAATGAAATTAGAGGGAAATGACTAGGAAACCATATCTAAGCAGAAATATCTGCCATTGTAAAACATCTTACATGAAAACATGAAAACCATGCATCTTACCTTAAAGCTAAAATGGCAGGCATGGTGACATGATAATCTTTGTCGCAGATATTACTAAAATGAAATTTCTTAAGGTGATTGCAAAAAATGGAAAAATACCTATAATGAAATGCTATTTTTGACAAAGCAAGGAACTTACCATGATTTACAAATACAGAAGTGCTTGCATCTTTTTCTGCAGGCTTTTTCCCTCTATCAGAAGATTTTGGGCACTCTGACTGTTGTTTTTTATTCAAACGGGAATTTCCAGCATTGACCTCCATCATATCCAAAACAAATGACCATTCCCTTTGGTAATAATGACAGTACTTGTCAACCAGTGTTCCTTTTAAGTTCCCTTGATAAATTTATCCACAAAAACTGGAGGGCTTCAAGACCACTGCCATGCAGAAACAAGATCTTTTATACAATAAAAATCAACAAGAAAGAAAAAGAAGAAATTTTCTGCATATATATAGACTATTTACAGCATATGAATCCATGAATTGAGCATGGTAATATCATATGCTATAGAATACATAACCGTGTATTGCAACATGATAATGTTAAATTTACGTAAATCAACTTTTACATCACATATATCACCTTAGCACATATTTTTACCTTTATTGTAATTTTCCTGATAACTAAGGAATCTAACCATCTTAGAACATTCACAAATACATATACAATATTAACAATAAAAGCTCAGTTCTAAATCACCAACTATCTTTTTCCCCCAGTACTTATTTGTTTCAATCCAACATACTCAGATTATGCTTATATACACAAAGCATGAAAGTTGTGTTTCAGGAGCAAGAGTGCAAGAAACCAAAAATCCTATTGGTGTGGAACTCCTCAAAGGACATTTATGCCTGTTAAGTACAATGTGGAATTCAAGAACCCAAGGTTTCTCATAAGAGAAAGTCTAGCCTGTCTCCATAGTTAGTGTATCCATTAAAAGAATAAACATCTTGCTGATTTACACACACACACACACACACACACAAACTACGAAATCTAAACATCCCTCTAATTTCAGAAAAACAGAAAGAAACAATTTTGCCATATCTTTCAGCATTGGTACCATAGAGAGAAGTTTAATGCTTAACCCTTCTATGACATAGTAAAGATCACCTCAATCAATAGAAACCAATATATCAATTTCTTGCCATGAAAAAAATCAGTCCCATATAATCCATTAAGTTCTTGGTCCAAAGAGTTCAACAAAAACACCACTGAATTCCTCCATGAAGTGTCATTCAAAATCTAAAATTGTTCAGAAATCAAATTGAAGAGAAGGCAAAAACCTAGAGAATCTTCACTTTTTTAAGACATTAGATAGTACATTTTAATAACGTTGACTACAAATTAGTACTAAAAAAATACATTCCAAAATTCCTTGCTTTCAACTTAAGAATCAGCAACAATAACAACACGTGTTCTAACAAGAACATAAAGAAAACAAATCAAACAAATCATATAGACAAAAATTCATTAAAAAAAAAACCAAAAACCCATACTTAGTTTACAAAAATTAACAATGCATTTGGCCATGAAAAAGCAAAACAAAAGAAACCCATTTCAGAATCAACCAATCCAAATAATAAAACAACAAAAAATTAAAAAAAAACCCAATAAAGAAGAAATTAAAAAAAAACCATACCTTTGGAGAGAAAACAAAAATTGCAAAGGTGGGATTTTGGAGATGGTTTATGGGGAGAAGTTTAAAAGGACATTAAATTTAAAAAAAGAAGGAAATTATGTTTTTTTAATGTTTTCTTGTTTTGTTCGGTTACCTTTTTGTTTTGCTGTTCTTAGGTTCGGTTTGTTTTTTTTTTTTCTCCTGTTCTGTTTCTCGTTTTCCACATGAAATTGTGTGTCTTCGTCTATGCTGACGTGGATGTGATTCGGAATTTTGACATGTGGAAGTTTGGAATGGATAAACTTCTATGCTAAGTGAAGTTAAATAATTGGAGCCATTTAATTGGTCTCCTATAAGGGCAAATTACAGACTGATGTTAACGTGGGCCAATTATGACCATGAACCTAATGGCTCAACATTATCCTAGTTTAGTGTATCGTTCAAGATAATTTCCCATAGGTGTAATGCCATTTTACTTTTCATCTTTTCATTTTCTCTTTTGACTTCGTGTTTGATAAATCATTGAAATTAAAATTATTATTATTTTAATACGTTTAATAAATTATTTTTAAAAATGATTTAATTAAAGATTTCAATAAAAAATGTTAAAAATATTAAATAACTTTTAGCTACGTAATCTAATGTAAATTTTATTAAAGAAAAAAATTTAGCTAATTGCATTAGTTTTATAATTTTTAAATTTTTATCAATTAAAAATAATTATAAAATTATATCTTATTTTTGCAAAAATATTAATAAAAATTTTAGTTAATATTTAATTTTCAATTGCATATCAAACAACTCTTATATTATAAATTTAGTATTAAAATTTTCAAAACAAAAATTCAGTATTTAATTTTTAGTGTTAAATTTATTCAGTGTATTAATAACATTTCAATCTTAAATTAATATAAAAATCTTAAATACCACATATGATGATAAAAAAATAATATAAAAATATAAAAATAATATTTATAAAATTGTAATAAATAAATATAAAAATAATAATATTTATAAATTTTTAATAAAATAATATAAGTTAGAGAAAAATTAAAAATTTATTTTATATTTATGAATACTAATTATGACACGATTAAATAATTAGGAAAATTTTTTGCCAAAGTAATTACAAAAATTTAAGAAATATTATTATATTACATTAGGGTTTTGTTGGGGATGGAAAAGAAACAGAACACAAATTTGAGGTTTGAACAGCCAACAGTTATCATTACAGCGAGAGCAGAGCTCCATCACCTATAAGAACATTTGAGTGAGACATGGACACTTCGGATACCTCTGACACGAAAATCGTTGCATCACCGCCGCCTTTGCAGGAACCAGAACCCAAAAAGCTCAAAATGTCTACGACCGCCACATCGGACGACGAAGAAGAAGCCGCTGCCACCACTGGGACCAAAAAACTGAGATACAAACGCCGCAAAATTGCCATGTTCTTTGCCTACTGCGGCGTCGGATATCAAGGCATGCAAAAAAACCCAGGAGCCAAAACCATTGAAGGCGACCTCGAAGAAGCACTATTCCACTCTGGCGCCGTTCCCGAGCAAGACCGCGGCAATTCAAAACGCTATGACTGGGCTCGCTCGGCCCGAACCGATAAGGGCGTAAGCGCTGTCGGCCAGGTCGTTTCTGGACGGTTCTACATCGACCCACCTGGCCTCGTGGAGCGCCTTAATCAGATACTTCCGGCCCAGATTCGGATATTCGGTTATAAGCGTGTGACGGCATCGTTTAATGCAAAGAAGTTTTGTGATCGACGGCGGTACGTTTATCTTATTCCTGTTTTTGCTCTTGATCCAAGTTGTCATAGGGATAGGGAAAGTGTTTTGGCTAGTTTAGGGTCCGATAATGAGCTTGTTAAGTGCTTGGAGTGTTCTGAAAGAGGCCGTAAAGTCGTAGGTGTTATGGGCAAACGTATTAGTTTCGAACCCATTTCGACGATTGTTCAGTCTGACATTTATTCGAACAATGGAGATACAGGAAATGCAATTAAGGAAGATATCCAGAAATCTGAACTTAAGCTGGCTACTGATGGTTCTGTCCAAAATGAGTTTACTGATATGGAGAATACTGCAATTAAGGAAGATAACCTGACATCTGAACTTAAGGAGGCTACTGATGGTGCTGTCCAAAATGAGGTTACTGAAATGCAGGATACTGGGGTTGAGCAAGATAAAGTTAATTTAGATAAGAAACCCATGGAGGAAAGAAGGTTTTGTTATGGTGAGGAAGAGAAGGAGAGGTTCAATAGAATATTGAAGCATTATGTTGGGTCTCACAACTTCCATAATTTTACTACAAGAATAAAAGCTGAAGATCCTGCTGCACGCCGCTATATCGTTTCATTTCACGCAAACACAGTTGTCACTGTTGAGGGCATTGATTTTGTCAAGTGTGAGGTTGTAGGTCAGAGCTTCATGCTTCATCAGATTCGTAAGATGATTGGAATGGCTGTTGCGGTTATGAGGGATTTTGCTCCTGAGTCACTGATTGAAACTGCATTGCGAAAGTAAGTAGTTCTCTTTCTTCTTAATTGCATTGGTGTTCTAAATGAATTCTTGTTTTTGGCGTAATATATATTTCAATGAATTTCAGGGATGTAAACATTAATGTACCTACAGCACCTGAGGTTGGTTTGTACTTGGATGAGTGCCTCTTTGCATCATACAACGAAAAATGGAAAGATAGTCACGAAGAGTTGTCTATGAAAGCATATGAAGAAGAGGCGGAGAAATTCAAAATGAAGTTTATATACTCTCATATTGCCTCAACAGAACGTGAGGAAGGAGTTGTGGCCTTATGGTTGCATTCTCTAAACCACAGAAACTATCCTGATTTACAGGTCTGCAGCAGAGACACAATAGAAGGGAAGAGTCCTAAGGTGGATGATAATGCAGACACCATTGAAGAGAAGAGTAATGCGGTGGAGAAAAATGGAGACACTGCCGAGACACAAAGTGCCAAAGAGTAGAATATGACTGAATGAGTAGTCTCATTGTCAAACTATCTACTTTGCATAGTAAATTAATATTTAGCAAGTTATAGTGTGGATGATCTTTCTATTTCATTTGGAACTCTTTGCCTTCTTTTTTTCTACTAACTTTTAGCAAGATGGGGTTGAAGTTTGGAACTCTTCTGGTGCTACTTAAAGGATGCTCATGTTTGGAAGGAAATTTCATAGATTCATTTTGTTTCATTACCACATTCATCAACATGCCTTGATCACTTGAATGACTATTCTGGACAGGTTGCCAACCAAGAGCAAACTTAGTTCCTGGGGACAAGCATTTGGATTTTGTTGACTGCCTGTTATGTAATCAAGCTGTGGAAGCAAATGACCGTATTTTCTTCACTTGTGGTTATTCAAAGCAGCTGCTTGACAAAATTCTTCATGCTTGTGGCATTTATAGGAGAACTGATCACTGGCATTCTGAATTGTGGTGAGCTAAGGATAAACTCGAAGGAAAAACACTTATTTCTGTCATCCTTCACCTTGTTATATTTACCACTTACGGACGGAGAGAAATAGCAGGCTTTATGGATAGAAGGCAAACTCAATTTCGTTTTTTTGTTCTGGCATTAACACGGTAAGATCTCAGCTTCATGAGCTCATAAATATTGCTGGTGATTCTACTATGCCCAGGTTTCAAGTGACTATGATGGCATAGTTTGTTGCTTCTGTTTGCAGTCTGGTTTTTCTTTCTAGCAGCTTTACTGCATTTTTTCTTTTTGGCCTGAGCTTTGTAGCTTTTTTGGATAATAAATTTTTTTTTTGGATAAGTTGTAATTTTATTATCCAAAAAGCAGTAGAACACTGGTACCAGATGACTGTAGATACAGTGCTAGACCCTGCACTCAAGGATTACATTACAATTATATCCCTGCTGAGTTCCAATCTCTCAATTAACTCTTTATTGATATGATCAAAAACAATATTTTTTATTCCTAGCAGTCAGTAATTTGACCACTTTATTTGCCGCGGAATTGGCTCATTTGTGTGTTTTTTTTTCATGTAAAATGCCTCTTATTTCGTTACTTCCAGATCAAGTATATGTATGCCTACCGTGCTAGCCTCAACATTTAGATATTAGAGCATATCCTATAATCTTGATAACAGCCCACTTTAGTCCTCTTCCCACAATACAACCTCTCTGCGTAGATTACATAGCTGCAAGACTTGCTCCCACAGTCTTGGGAGTATCTGCAGCTGAAGAAAATATGATTCCTGTTCTTCTCCTCTCGCCTGCACAAAGCACAATACACATTCCCCTTCAGCTGCCATCCCCCATGCAATCAGTCTGTCTTTGATAGAAAGCCTCTTTAGGATGGCCATCCACGCAACAATAGGATGCTTAGGAATGTGAAACTTGCACCATCAAAGCCTGTGCCAGGTATCTTTACCTGTTTCACCCTTAGTTCCTCCCATACCTTCGCAGCTGAGTAATCAGTACGTCCATTGTTCCACACCATTCCATCGTCTTTTTGTTCCAAGAACCTGGAAGCGAAGCCCCTCATTTGCGGTAATTTTCTCAAGCATCAGCTACTGCTTGGATCGATTGGTACCTCCCATATCTGCATTTTTCAAGCAGATATCTTTGTGCAATCCACAAGGAGCCTGCTTGAGTAAAGATGGTCCATAAGCGCCTGAGTACACAAGCTTTGTTCAAAGTTAAGAGATCCTTCAATCCAAGTCCAGCTTCTGACTTAGGCCGCTAGCCTACATATAACTTGCCACCGAACTCTTGCTCTTTTAGCTGAATTCAACTGGCTCTTCCAAAAGAAGCTCAAACATTGCTGGATGACTTTTTTTAATCACCTTTTGAGGAAGAACAAAATGTCTACAACGTCTATAATTTTGAATACTGAAAATGACAGATTGTATAAGCTGTAAGTCTGCTTGCATATGTCAGGTGCCTTGCTGTCCAATTATGTATCCTTGCTGTGATTTTCTTAATCAGTGGGGGTCAATCTTTCATGGTAATCCTGCGCGTGACTAGTGACACCCCAATCCTGTCTCCTTTAGAAGCTTATGCAGTTCCCCTCTTTGAATCTGTGTACAACATTTAACTATTCGCGCAATTGAGTTGAAGCCCAGATAATAAATAGAATGGCTGCAATATCTCCTGAATACTATAACGGAGTCCAACTTCCCCTTTGTGAATCATCACCGTAACATAAATGTCTAACCTGTAAACATAAATGGATAACAAAATTCTTACAAAAAGAAGTGACTTTTACTTTGAGCGTTGACCCTGCAAAGATCTGTTATTTGGACGTGAATGTTTAGACCAAGGCTTGATTTGGATGCGTGGTGGGAGGATTGCTACCCGTGCTGGGAGTTGAATTTTATGACTGCATCCAAAGGGCCTTGAGAACTTTTTAATTGGTCTACCATCTATCCCACAAGAGACGAAGGTGTTTATCGTGGATTAGACATATGTAATTAGCTCCAGTTGGTTGAAGATCAGGCCTTTACTTAAATAAAGCCGAGCTAATTAGCTCTAGCTAATTCAAGGCCAAAACTCAACCTAGCAACGCCAACACAACATTACACTACATGGTCGGATCTAATGTCTTTCTTTTGTACAAAGCTAAATAGAGATGCTAGAAAGTCTCTTAATTCAATTAAATTCGAGAAACATCATATAATAACGATATCATACGAAAGTAATATAAAATAAATAAGAAAATAAATAATCAAAAATTTTAATAAAAATTATATATAAATTTGATAAAAATTAAAAAATATATATTTTGTATTTGGTGTATTGATAAAAATTGTAACATAATAATTTTGTATTCTATATTTATTAGACATGAAATAAATAAATATGAATACAAAAATTATAAGATTTAAATTCAACTATTACAGTTAGGAAATAAGCATTATTCTAAAACAAACACCATAAAATAGTGTCTGATGAGAGTAGATGTCCTGTCTGGTCGACAATGGCGGATCGTTAGCATAGCTTTGAAAAACATACTCAAGTAAATCCAAGACCACTAGCTTTGAAGAACAACAAAAAAGGATGGGTTAAAAGACAAGTAAAAGAGAGCTCATGGTTGCTGGAGGATGGATTAAGGTGCTTGGGTCGATTCTCAAGATGGTGACTTTTGGTGGTGCTGCCCAGGACCCAACTAAGGATTAGCAGGAAGGTCTTGTTATGGTCTCCGATCTCGTACAAATCGATCGACGATTGAACCTTGATTTGTGGGCGTGTTTCTGTTTTGTGGGCGTGTTTCTTAAGGGGATTAACAGCAGATTAGCGGTAGGAGTAGGAGAAAAAGGAAAGGAACAAGACTGAGATAGACAAAACTCATAAGAAGACGAGAGAAGCAGAGCAGTTTTATTTTGGTCTGTGAAGGCGTGGGTCTTAGGGAATTAGGAGGAGACAAGCCTAAAATAAAGTTTTTTAGGGTAGAATTTGTAAAATTTTTTTAAAAATTTTTAAAAATTTAAATTGATAGATTGGTAAATTTTTATATGAAAATTAAAAGTATGTAAAAATATTATTAAAAATATTATTTATAATTTAAATTTTATTAATATTTTTTTAATGATTAAAATTTTATTAATTTTTTATTAAAAATATTTATCTAAAAAATATATCAAAATTTATTAAATATTTTTTAAATTTTACACATTTGATCTATATAATAAAATTTTTTAATTTATCATATTTGATTTTTGATTTAATTTTTGATTTAATCATTTTTAATAAAAAGTTTTAAGAATTACACTTCAAAAATTTTACCTAAATCTTTCAATTAAGAAAAGACTTAGATTTTTTTAGATGAGAAATGACATATTTACCCTCCAATAATTAACCATTGAAAAATGTTAATTATTTTGATCAATTCAATTATTAATTTTAAAAATAAAAAAATTAATTAATTTAATCAATTTAACTGAAAATTTTGTAAAAAATTAAAACTAATTTAATCAAATCAAATGAACTAAATTCTATCAATTTCAAATAGTTAAATTAGTTTGAATCGATTTATGTTCATCCCTAACCGTCGTGATGCTGTTCATAGTCGAGTTTGGATGCATTTGGCTGGGATGGTTTTTCTTGCGTGGGTGTGTGATTTTGGCTTTCATGGTTATAATGTAATTGCAAACATATTTAACTGGTTGTCTCAAGCAATCTTTAACAATTTGAAGGAACTATATCACTTATAATTATGATAATGTAATTAATCAATATTTTGAAAATTTTATAAAAAGAAATGAGCTTAATTAATAAAGTGATTGTAATGAGTAACATTGTGACTGCAAATAAAATCTCATGAAGTAGTATTGCTTTCCTCCCTCCAAGTGGTACCCTGAAATTATTTATTACATGCTCATGTTGGGTTTGGACAAGAGCGACAACATAGACACCTCTGGCTACAAGTGCTTCTTGGGCCATCAAATACAATGTTAAGAACTAGAAAATTTGGGAAGGACTGAAGCCCCATGACCCAAATTGTACCAGGCTGTAAGGAAATTCACAATGCAAATCATGTAAGTAAAAGAAATAAAATCCAAAATTTAGTATGTTTATTTGTACTTTTATATGTTGAGCTCCAAACCAAGATGGTGATATTAATTAAAAAAAAAAAGAAAAATGAAATCAATGACCATAAATTAATTGATATCTTTTAATTCAAATTTCATTTATGATTTTTTTAGTATTTATTTTTAAAAAATAAATAGAAGAAAAAAGAATAAAAATAAATAAAATATCAACCAAATAAATATATAATTTTAAAAATAAAATTATAATTCTCTCATTTTTCTAATTGGAAAAAGAAAAACAAGTCAAAATTTGATGCCTATGCAGATTTAGTTACATACTTTGAATTGCTTGGAAGAGAAAAAAAAAAAAAAAGAAGTCTTCTCTAAATCAAAGCCAAACTCAAACTAAAACTCTCTTCTTCTAATCCGGTCCAAAATCCAAACATCCGCCAAGTGTCCGCCAACACGACCAACCTCCTTACTTCCATAGTCGTTAACTTCCATCTTTTCTTTTTGGGTCCCACTTTCCCTCCAATCCTAGCGGAGATCCCTCCGAAATCCGAATCTTCATCTTTCTCCTTTCGTCCCATATCTTCTTTCTTTCTTTCTTCCCTTAATCTTCCCAAGAAAATAAAAAGAAACGAAAAACCCAAACAGAGAAAAGCATACTAAAAAAAAAAATGAGAGCTTTAAATTCGAGATTTGTTCTAATTGACATCACCAACAACGCAACGTCATGGCACCACCGTCCAAAGCATTCGCACTTCACAAAAACGACACGTAGAGCTCATCAAAGACCAGCAACGGCATCTATAAAACAATCTCAAACGTCGGTTCTCCGGATCCCACATATCCGTAAACCGTCTGATCGAACCACGTTCTCGAATGGGTCTTCCTCGGATTACCCGAACCCGCCTTCGACTTCCCGGGTGGAGGCTTGTACGGAACTCGAGCTGTTCCTCGAAATGTTGCCGCTGCGGATAAGGAAAGAGCTTTGCAGGCATGAAGAGATAGGTGAGTTGATTGAGGTGGTCATGGATTTGGGGAGGCAGCCTCTTGCTAGGTTTCCTTCTGGGGATTGGGTTATTTCGAAACAGCCTGTTAAGCATGAAGATTTAAGGCATGCAATATCTAAGGTAATTTTAAGTGAATTGCTATAGTTTAATTTGAATTTTTGTTGTATGTAATGATTTTGTCAGTATTTTTTTTAATGGACTCGAGTAATTTGACGTGACATAATCATGATCACAAATATAGTTTGATTAAATTTTTGACTTTAAGTGATGTCATGTCTAAATTTCATAATAATTTACTTGAATTCATGAGATCATTGTTTTGCGATTTCATATTTCTTGAATTATATTACAAGTATACGAAAATGATAAAAAAAAAAAAAAAAAGAAAGCAACGTAGTTTTAAATTCAAGCAAAAATTGTATAAGGGTTTGGGAAAAACAAAAAAATGTGCTTTGTGTTTGATGTGTTCACACAAATTTGACATGATAATTTTATGTTTTACGCCTATTTGACATGAAATAGACACGATACAGATACATAAAATTACTAATTTTAATAAGAAGTGTCTTTTTGAAGTTAATAGAAAGATGTTAGCTTCAAATAGGATTTTTCACATCAAATAATTTTGGCAAGAAGATGGTTTAATGGGGTAGTTACTCTTGGTTTTCATTGTGCTACTAATTGTTTGTTGCAAATATAAATGTTATTATGCATTGGAAGATTGAGATCTGGAAAGCATTTAATTTTATTTTTGATAATGGTATGTTCAGACTTTGCCCGAGCTTAATCCTTCTGAAAGGATCTTAAAGGCTTCCCACATCAGTTATTTGAATAAGTTGACTATTTTTACTTAAGTTAATGAACTGGGTCATCCTCTTATGCCTTTTTTCTTTTTGTATTCATTTGTTTAGGCTCAGGGTTGAACGAGGCAACATCTACTACGTTTTCAATATAGTTTACTTTTCTAGTATAGTTTTCTTTAGTTCTACCCTATTATGAACAAGTAGGGGTGAGAAAAAAAAATCTAGAACACTGATTTGAAACTGTAATATTCGGTTCGGTTTGGTTTTGTCTTTTTTGGTTCGGTTTAAGTTCGGATGTTAAGTGTTTCTATTAGGTTTGGTTTAGATTTTGAGTCGAAATAACCAAACTGAACCAAGCCATTATGACCCCTATGAATAGGTATAGATCCATTACTTTTTTTCTATCTAGTTGCACCTATTTATTTACCAGGTTGTATACTTTGCTGCAAACATGATCAACATTTGTTGTATGATGATAATGATTGATAGGTAAATGTTAATAGTATCTTTAAGTTTTGGAATTAGGATTTGGATGGTGGCTGGATTGAATGAGTTCATTTTAAGTGAAGTTGCCCCTTTTCGCATTTAAATGAATTGAAGTTACTGGATTTTGTTCTAGGTTGGTGACTTTTCGGATGACAACCGTTCGGGTATTGATAGATCTTTGCATCGCATAAGTGCTATTAGAAACCGTAAATTGCAAATAATTGGCCTCACTTGCCGGGTCGGTCGAGCTGTGTCTGGAAGTGCTGAGATTATACGTGACTTGGTCGAGGGAGGAGGTTCCATTCTGGTCATAGGTCCTCCTGGAGTTGGTAAAACAACCTTAATCAGGTACTTACCTGTGTAATAGTCACTCTACTGATTTGAAGTTCCTCCACAGTCTATTTTGTTCCTCAATGTCCTTTGTTGTTTAAACAATTATCGTGGAATTTTATCTTCAGCTTTTAAAAAGAAAATAAGTTCCGATTATGCGTTTCATGTAAGGATACATTTATTCTTTTGTTTAGATTAGATAACTCCTTGTTTGTACATCTTTTTTTATTTACTTTCTATTTCTGGCTGTGGATTCAATTTTTATTAAGGCAAAGTGTTATAATCTTAATATTGTCTGATCTAGCATCAGTAACAGACTGACTATTTGAGTTATACTGAGTTTTTTCAAGAACTTTATTGGGTTCAATCCTTTCGGTTATATCATTATGAATTTTGATGTAAAAACTATACTAGTTATTTATGGCACAGGATTTGTGTATCTGAAGGATCTTTGTTTTTGGCAGAGAAATAGCTAGGATGTTGGCAGATCAACACATGAAACGTGTTGTCATTGTGGATACATCAAATGAGATTGGAGGTGATGGAGATGTTCCCCACGAAGGAATAGGGCGTGCAAGGAGAATGCAAGTTCCAAATGTGAATATGCAGCATAATGTGAGTGGCTGTGTCTGGTTTTTCTTGTTGCTATACATCGAATTGACTTAAGCTTGGGGCAATTGTTTTCATAAAGTATAATTTTCTGTGGGCTCAACTACCTTGCAGGTTATGATTGAGGCAGTTGAGAACCATATGCCTGAAACCATCATAATCGATGAAATTGGTACAGAGCTTGAAGCATTAGCTTCCAGCACTATTGCTCAACGAGGGGTTCAGCTGGTTGGAACAGCCCATGGAATGACTATTGACAACATAATAAAGAACCCTTCTCTACAGATCCTTGTTGGTGGCATTGAGGTGCAAAGCAACTCCTTTTGTCTTCATTTCATATCACTCATATGGATTTCAATATACACCAAATGGCATTACTTTGTCCTTTGGATGTATCACTTACGCTATTTTACAGAAGGCTTTTCATTGGATTAAAAGTCACTCTTTCATTTGAAAACAGAGTGTAACTCTGGGTGATGAGGAAGCAAGGAAAAGGAAAGTTCAAAAGACAATTCTTGAAAGAAAGGGCCCTCCAACATTTACATGTGCTGTCGAGATGATATCCAGGACTGAGTGTCGTGTTCATCATAGACTTGATGCAACTGTGGATGCTATACTGGCTGGTACAGTAAACTACTATTCCTTTAGAAGCCTTCTTTGAGTGTCTACCTTCTGGTATTTGAATTGAAGTTTTCATATTAGCAGATATTTTCTGGTTGCCAGGAAATTCTCCTTTATTCGAAATTCGTCAGATGGAGGCTGAAGCTGATATTCCTCTCAAGTCTACTTTAATGCCTAAAATTGAACATCTTGAACAATCCAACTTGCCCGTTAATGTGGAAAAATGTGCTGAAGCAGATTTTGATGTGGAAGATGAAGATTATCTTCCTAATCCTATTAAGAAACAGAGGCTTATCCGATCTGTGACCCAAAGGAGCTCACCTGTATGTGTTTATACTTACAAGGTGAAGTACACAAGTTTTCATTTCCATTATTTCTTTTTCATCATTTTTTCGTTTCTGTATCTTGATTTTCAGTCACATTGAAAAAAAAAGGGGGTGAGGGTTCAAGACTACTTGATGAATGGGTGAGATGCCCCCAAGGCTACTGTGGTCTATCATGCATGGCAGTGCTAATATGATCTTTGTTGGTTGGATGTATCCTTTAGATCCTGGAAGCTGATCTCTTACAAGTAGCAGCTGTAATGGGACTTGAAGATGAAATAGATGTCACTGATGACATTGGGATGGCGGATGCAATTTTAGCATGTGCTTCCGAAATAAAGCAGAATTCATGGATTCGAGGAATAGCAAAGTTTCAGCAGTTGCCCGTGTTTGTTATTGAGGTATGTTCATAACTATAGTCACAAACAATTGTGCTGAAAAAACCAACTTAATATTTTCTTGTTCCTGCCACAATCTTTTATGCTGATATGCAGTCCAATACCATGGCACAAATGGTCAAGGCGGTGCGTATGATTCTTGAAAGGGAATCATATGGCTCAAGATCAAAGCATCCTAACCGAAATTCTTTTGATATTGAGATTGAAGACGATGCACCAAAAAGAAAACCCACCTTGGAAGAGATCGATGCCTTAGAGGTGCAATATCTTTCCCGTGTTCTATTTGTTCATTACTGTTCAAAAATTCTTCAATTATTCTTGAATGCTTGTTGGTGAAAATTCATATGTATTGCAATCAATAGTAATTCCATAGCAAATACTGATGCTGCAACTTTCCAATGCCAGAAAAGTATGGAACTCTGTGCTTGTTGTTATGTTCAGTCAAATAATTTCTACTTCAACATTGATCAATTAACTAAAATCCGATCTACTCTTCATGAATTTCTTGTTAATTGTCATCTCTCTTCATTTTCTCGTAGGAGGTTCGTCTAGCGATCGAGTACATTGTCATTCCCGGTGGTGAACCAGTGGAGCTTCTCCCCAGACGTTCCGAGATAATTGCCCGCCAGCTTGAGCTTGTCGAGAGCTATAAGTTGGCTGCGGAAAATTCAGGTACTGAGCTTAACCCAAGGTTGCAGATTCTTCCTCAGAGATTGAACAAAAAGCTGTCATCTAAATCCCTCAAAACTACTTCAACTTCACAAAACGAAACCGGCTTGAAGCCTCTAACCGATGGCAGTGGAGGAACAAGTGTAACTAGGCTGCCACTCCTTCCTGAATAAATTTGACAAAATCTCCAATTATAACATATTTCAATCATGAATAGTTGATTGATACATGTTATATACTAAATATTACCATAATGTCATCTATTTCTATTTCTGTCTCATTGAAACTGTTTGAGTATTAACTGGTAGTATTCCTTTAGTTTCCCTCCATTGTCCATTTTTTTTTTGTTAAAAAAAATTTTAGGTGAGCAGACACTGCCCAATTATAGAATCAGAGCATATCACTGGTATCATGGATGACTTACCAACTCAAGGAGGATCATAAACAACAGAAATCAAATATAAATTTTTTAAGTGAAATATTTAATTTTTATCTAACTCAATCAACTCTTGGCCCATTTTTTTATATTTAAAGTATGATTTATCATAAGCTTTTTTTTTTTGAAGTATATAACACATATTTATCAAATTTTTTAGTATAAAAGAGATTGTATCTTAAGAATATGAGAAATTATAAATATTAAAATTTAAATTTTAGAGCTAATTTGGATTAGCGATTAGCCCCGTTGCTGTGCGATTTCTTTAATCTTTTGTGCAAATTGTATTATTATCACGTGTAGGTAACACCAGTGAGGTGCAGTAGTCTCCAGTTTTTCACCAGTAGTTCCATTAAAATGCTTTCATTCTCTTCGCTAGAGTTATTTATGGGTCAGGGTGATAGGCTGGATTTGAGTTGAATTTATGAATGATATTAATAGTTTATATGTTTATTTAAATTTGATTTAATCTAAAATTTTAAATTTTAAAATTTTTTAAAAATTTAATCTAAATTAAAAAAGTAAATTTCATTAAATTTAATTGATAAAATAAAAATAAAAATATAATTAAATTAAGTTTAATAAGATTATATTTAATTAATATATAAAAATTAAAAATAAAATTTATATATATAAAATTTTAAAATAAAATATATAAAAATAAAAATTAAGTTTAATAAAATATATTTTTTATATAAAAATAAATTTATATATAATTTACATATATAAAAAATTAAAAATTTATATATATATAAATTTATATAAATTTAGATTGAATTGGATCGAAGTTTAACTTAAAATTTTATTTGAAATTTAAATTAATTTAAAAATTATATTCTAACAAGTTTTAATTTTTTTGTTTAAAATTTTTCAAAATTTAAGTTAATTTTCAAATTTAAACGGATAATTCGATCTTTAAATAGAACTACCCACCACTTCTTCTTTCCAATTTTGTCATTTTTTATATTTTTTTCTTTATGGCCCTTAAATTGATAGAGATTTTCACGCCATTTAATTGTTTAATTTTGATTTTTATTTAAAATTTTAAAAAATTTTATTAATTAAAACTAATAAAATTTATTATTACATAATAAAAATGATATATTAATATTTTGATTAAATTAGAATTTCAAGATTTTAAATAGTATAAATAATATTCAAATTATATAAAAATAATTTAACAATCCGTTTTTTGAATAAAATCTTAATAATGATATTTATTCTCACCTTATCATCACGATGTTTTGTTATTTAAATATATATTTTATTATTATTTTTTTATCCTAATTAATTTTATAATTATAATAATTAATTTTATTATCATCATTATTTTTATTTTCATAATTCATTTAAATAAAATTTTAAATATTATTTTAAAAAATAATTATATAAATCAAATTAAATTTCAAATTCATCAATTTTTTTTTCATTCACGAAAATCAGATTTTTAATTTTAGTTCTTCGATAATATTTCTTCAAGATCATCAATTTTCGCAAAGGTTATTATTTTTGTGAATAAAATATAATTTTTTTTTGTTTAAAAACTTCCTTTATTTCAAATTCCTTTTGCAGTGAGGCCCAATCTACCGCTTATAGGTATTGTACCTTATGACCCATGCCCTAGAACGTACAACATCCAAGCAGCAAAAAATATTCACGTGCCTAGATAAGATAACCGTCAAGAGTTTCTCATAAACGAATCCCAAAAAATCACAATTTCACTGCAACCCCGACAAGCGTTAAGATTTTCTTCGGAAACAAACACATTTATTTATTTTCTTTATTTTCTCTCTTTTTTTAGGTTTTTAAAGAAAGAAGAAAGGAATTATATGTGAGGGATGGCGGGGAAAGAAGAGAACCGAATATTTGTCGGAGGATTATCAGGGGATGTCAAGGAACGGCAGCTTGAGCAGGCGTTTAATCGTTTTGGCAAAATCCTTGAATCTCAGGTACCCTTCTTTTTTAAAAAATAGAATCTGTTTTTTTTTTTTTTTTGCGTTATGTTTGGTTTCCTATAAAATGGAAGAGAAATTTGTAGGAAATTAACAAGTTGTTGAAGTTTATAGGAAAATGGGTTGTTGAATTTGCCTTCACTTTGGTTGAATATTGTTGTTTTAGTTGTAGAATTTATGTTATTTCAGTGCTTTGGCAATGGTTTTTTTTTTTGTTTGAATTTCTTCTCAAAAGAAACAGTCCTTGTAATTATTCAAGCTTGTTTTGTTCTATTATTGGTGTTAGAAACTTGTTTCCTGGATATGCTTTATGAAGGTAAACATGTTTTCACAAAGCTTTTGTATTTCATAAGGATTGAATCTTCATATACTTAACAAAATGTATGCAGGCAAAAACTCAGACTCCAATCTTTTATCTAGATTTATGTGACTTGAATATATTCACTAGGACAAGATTTTAAACCCATTTCAACTTTACCCTTTTCCTTTCCTAAACTTGGTTATTTGAGTATCATTCCTGGATTTAACCTGAAGCATTCACAAGATTTTGGTTCATAATAAAAGGCAAAAGATTGGACCAAATTATTAAGAAGTGAAACTTATGTTGAGTCATTATTGACATTTTTTTGACAATTTCTTGTAATTTTTCTGTGTTTTTGAATGATGTGTTACCTATGTTTTTTCAAAGATGGTTATTCTCCGTGGTACTTTAATCATGCCACCATATGAAATCTCTTGTTAATGTTAGAACCTTTTGTATAAGCTTATTTGATATTGCGTTATAAATGATGTGTTCGGTTTTCTTTTATTTTTTTCCCCTTATCTTCTTCTTATTAATTTTTCTCACTTGTTTCTTGTTTTTGTTGAAATGCTGATAAAAACATTTTGGCATGCTGTGGATGGGATTTATAAGAAGTTTTTTTGGTTGGAGTGACTGCATCAAGTTGCTGAACCGCAAAGTCTTCTCTTTTTCTAATATTCTAGCCCAAAGCATTCGTTTAAATTTAAGGGGTATGGTTCATGGAAGACAGCTGAAGTTAAAACTGATTCTTTTAAATTATTTTATGGAGAAACAGTTTTATTTGGATTAAAGGATCCTTGCATGAAGCCACAAGCCATAAGCTTTTGCTTTATTTGTGATATTTACTTTTGAAGAGCCTAAAATGATCGTTGATGCTCCATAAAGAAATTGCCTTGTTTCTTAAGTGGTTGTTTGTGTCAAAGCATCATAATGAAGATTTTTATGGAGTTAGCTTTTTAAAATTTTATGGCAAGACCAATGGCCTTATTCATCACATATGCAAATGAGTAATGATTTGTGTCAATTTGGCTTGGGAGAGGACTCAGAGGGTTGTCAAGAAATCTTTTACTTTTGTAAGGTATATGAAGCATTTATAGACCTTTCTTAGTCGTGAAGTACTTGTCGAGCCCTACGTTGTCATACAAATATAACATACCTGACCTTTTTAGTTATGGAGTGTGCTTGTGTACCATCTTTGTCTCTACTCTCTAGCATAAGGTTTTCTGGGCCATTATGTTCCAAATGATGACAAAGATTCTATGCAATTGTGTATCCTCATGCACGATTATGCAGTTTTTCTTGAGGATGAATTTATGTTCTTTTGGATGGGATTGACATCATTGTATCTGCTGATGTGGTGAGTCTGTGGTCCAAGTCTCCGAGATCCATTTTTTGGCCTCATTTTGTTGAGATTTCTCTTTTTAATTTGCTTTGAATTTCCCAATTGATTCAGAATAGAAATGAAGTCAGTACCGGATTAGTTGTGAACATGCTCAGGAAAAAGTTTTATCATTTCCATTGGATTATTGATGCAGTTGTGTTAATCTTTCATCTTATCTATCATTCTAAACTAATTAAAAGTAAATTTCAGATCAGTCTGAGACCTATTCGTGAATATCCATATAGCGAGCTCCAATCTTGCATTTCATGCTTGGACCGCCATTCAGCCACTCTATTTAGCAAACCTCAATTTGTTCTTCTTTTGCTCCTGCCTCAGATGGAAGCCTCAGGATCAAGAAATTGTTTTTAGTCCAAGATCCAAATGTGTTCTTTTTCTAGGACTGTATCTTATGTTAGATAATAGATCCAGCACTCTCTGTAGCACTAAGTTGGATGCTTATAGCATTGCTGTGACTGCACATCTCCTTCGGATTTGATAACTGGAGCCTTTTCAAAGTTATCTACTTGTGCAACCCAAAATGCAGAAGCTGTAAAGATATTGGATTGAAAATTTGTGGTCACCGGCAGAACCAGCTTTTAGATTTCTCCTCCTAAGCTGATGTTGTGTGGATCTGAAAAGTACAGCATTTTAGGGAAGCTTATGTCTACCAATATAATCTAATTTCAACAAGATATGCATTTCTTTAATAAGTCATGTTGATGAGCGGGATGATTATTCTCTTGATTTTAATAAGTTCTGCTACTGTGACCTTGTGCATTAATCCTTTTGGTATCCCTGATGACTGGATTAGCCAATCTGTAGAAGCAGTTGGGCCTGGTTTGCAAATTGAAGAAAACTTGTGATGATGCCTGATGATGTATCTGCTTCTCATTTCATTTATGAACTGCAGACACACAGGTTGGTATGGGAGATGTTTTTGGCTTGGCAAAGATTGATTTTGGCCCAATGAGGAATCTTAACATTCTATTGTTTGTTAACACTGACCAGTGGGAATGTAATGTCTTTGAATGAAATACTAGCACTGATTACTGGTTTAATCAGGATGCCAATTTGTGTTATAAAGAGAGAGTAAGAGAGAAAAGGAAAACCAGAAAGAACCCCATTTGTTTGACCGTATGGGGTCTTATGCATAAACTGTTATGTCAGATGCTGTGGGAAATGAGGTCAGGTTAGAGTTCTCCTATTTTAACAGATCAGAAAAAGGAAAAATGTGCAGTATCTTATGTTTGATTTTAAGAATCTTTGCAATATCGATCCCTTACCCATAACAAGGAGGGAGTAAGTTATGTTTCATTCTTTTCTTCCTTTACTATCTAGTACCATTTGTGCAGACCATGGTTTTGAACTCCATTTATTTCATTTCCATAGTTGAAGTTGAATTTTTACTAGAAATATATTTTGTTTTTATGAATTTTACAATTATCGCAACAACACCATGTTCCTTTCAACTTTTTTCTTTTTAAAATAAAATTTGAACCATCTGGTGCTATAAGTGAAAGAGGCACAATAGTTCAGACACATAATTGTCTTGATGTTCTTCAAATTTATTAAATGTCTCAATCTGTAGAGCATGAATTTATCACGAGCTCTGAGACTTTTGATCTATGTCTAGTAATCTTATCTGTAGGGTATTTTATGCATTTATTTTTCTTCTATCCATTACAAATGATGCATACTATCGATTTGTTACTTCTATGACAATGCTAATTTATGATGTGTAATATATATGTAGTACATGCTTTATATTTTATTTTGTTGTTTGACATTAGCCTTTTGTTTGTGCATCTGTAGATCATGTTGGAAAGAGATACTGGACGTTCACGTGGATTTGGATTTATTACATTTGCAGATCGCTGGTCCATGGATGAGGCTATCAGGGAGATGAATGGACGAGAGTTTGGAGACCGCATCGTCTCAGTGAACAAGGCTCAACCAAAAATGGGTGAAGATCTTGACAATGGCTATAGAGGAGGTTACTCATCAAGTGGCAGGGGAGGCTATGCAGGTGGAGACAGGCTTGTAGCACAGGATGAATGCTTCAAATGTGGGCGCTTTGGGCACTGGGCCCGAGATTGCCCTTCAGCTGGTGGTGGCCGAGTTGGGAATGGCAGCATGTTTTCTTCACATTCAAGGTATGGAGGTGATGATGACTGTGATGATCGCTTCAGAAATCGTGATCGGTATGTGGATGACAGTTATGATGATGGACGATATGGAGATAGGGACCATTTTGATAGCAAAGATGATAGATATGGAAGCCGTGATCGATATATTGGTAACAGGTACAAGGTTTTACCTAATGTTACTGCAGAATGACATTCTCTAGCCATTTTTTACCTCATCCATCATTTCTTATCTTTATTATTTTGGGTAACCATATTTCTGGTAAACTAATTTGACATATGCTTTGAAAAATACTTAGTATGATGTTGTGACAGTATACTAACTTTTATACTCTAGCCTTCAAATCCAACTCCAATTCATGCAGACATCCAGATTTGCCTTTCTTAAGACATTCCAATGTCTCCTGTAAACAATGCAGGCATCCCCCTGGTGGAGATCGATTTGGCAATTGTTATGGTGATTCAGACCGATTCCCTCGGAATAATTACAGCAAGGAAAGAGGTTATCGAGATGTTGCTTCAAGAGGTAGTGATAGGTATGGAAGTGGAGGGCCAGCACGTGATGATGGAAGAAGCTACAGGAACAGGGCCGGCCCTTATGATCGTGCTGGCAGGGGAGGGCGCCCTTCTTCCTTTGACCACTATTAATTGTACTCAATATGTTCATTGAACTTTTAAGTCTGAACGGTATGTTGGGTACTTTTTTGTCAATCATCTAGGATGCTTGAATTTCTATGAATGGTAAGGATTTTTTTTTTAATACAAAAGAGGTCATAGCCTAAAGATAAGAGATGATTTGTAGATGTTAAAATTTAAATTTTTTTTAAATTTTATTTATTAAAAGTAATTATATGAATTAATTGAATTAAATTTCGCATTTAATGATAAGATTTGACTCATGCAATTTTACCTAAGAATGCATTTTCCTTTGTCATAAAAAATGGAGTCAAATAACATTCCGGGCATTTGATGCAATGATAAATGTATAGTATGGTGTGTTTATTTTCTGATTCGAGCAGATTTGAATATATTTTACTCCAAAATCAACAAAATGAATTAACTCCTGAGGTAAAATGTACATGTGGGAGTTGAAAGTTCCTGGCTAATTTTCATGTATTTTTTCCCCCTTGTATCTGTACTGATGCGCAGCTGTTACTGTGAAAGAAAGCTACAACGTTTCTTGGAAATTTATGCCACTGAAAATCAAAACTGAAACCGTTAATACTAACCCTAATCGAATAACTATCATCCTTGATACTCTGCCTACAATGTTTTCAACCAAAATGCGATGATCTGTAGCCAAAAATGAAGAAAAAAAAGGATTGCAAAGATGCCGCTGAGGAAAAAAAAGAAAAAAGGAAAGAACACGCATGCTTTGGTAACTATGCTTTGGTATTGATTTTTTTTTTTTTTTTAAAGTGAGAAAAATTTTGCTTAGATAAAATAATTTAAATATAATACGATAATATGATATAAATAAAATGTAAGTGATGTGATTTAAAATTATAATAATTATTATTTATAAATTTAATAAAAAATTTATATTTTATATTTTATATTTTATATTAATATAAATTATGATATAATTTTTATATAAAATATGATATAAATATATAAATTTTAATATTTATACATAAATTTTAATATTTTATTCAATACAAATATACGATATATCTAATTGACAGACTGAACGGATATCTCAGCTCACGAAGCTCCACAATTTTGGTAAGCATTGCTGCAACATATGTTGCTTGGAATCCTAGTCGGTAGTTTTCCATTTGTTTTCCAATTTCAAACATTTTTTTAATATAACAGATAACAATTTTCTAATTATCTTAAAATAAAATGTTTAATAATATTACCAAAGCATAACTAACGGGGGTAAATACTTGCGTCAAAAATAAAATAAAAAATAAAAGAAAATCTAGTATATCAAATTCTCAAAGGTTTCTCCCACTTTCTCTTCAACCAAACATTGAAGTTATCATTTTCTCTCAGTCATCATGGATGAAGAAGGACAAGAACAAGAAAAATCTCCAACTCTAATTGACAAAAGCTTTCCTCTTTTCTCCAAACCCCGCAAAACCAAACCTAATACAACCCCTAAACCCTCTCAAAACCCTAATCCCCAACTCCCCAAATCGAAAAATTTTCCTCCTCTTCAGCCGCCACCACCGCCGCTTTCTCCGAGCTGGGCCTAGCCGAATGGGCAATCCAAACATGCAAAGAACTCGGAATGCGAAAGCCCACGTCGGTACAAACCCACTGCATACCCAAAATACTTGCTGGTCGTGACGTGCTGTGGATTGCCCAGACAGGAAGCGGCAACGGCGGCGTTTGCTCTACCAATATTGCACCATTTAGCGGAGGATCCGTATGGGGTTTTTGCGCTTGTGATTACACCTACGAGAGAGCTTGCTTTCCAGTTGGCTGAGCAGTTTATAGCACTAGGGTCTTGTTTGCATTTGAGGTGTTCGGTGGTGGTGGGTGGAATGGATATGATTACGCGGGCGAAGGCCTTGGTTTCGAGGACACATGTGGCTACCCCTGGAAGAGTTAAGGTTTTGTTGCAAGAGAATCCTGATATTCCTAAAGTCTTTCAAAGAACTAAGGTAAAGAAATAAGGGAATGATGGATAAACATTTAAACTAATTGATTATGTATATGTTTTTATTTTTCAAGTTTATTCAGTTAGTGCTATAATTGTTAAAATCTAGGAAAAGTTAGGATGTTGGGTTTAATAAAAATTTCCATTTGTATTTAATTTTCTATAAAATGATTTTGATCAATTTGCTTGCTATTCAAGAATCTGAGGATAAGATGCCTGGTTATATTATGGGATTAAGGAATGGAGAAGGTTGTCTAAATATTTCAAAATTTTGGGTTTGAATCTAAATTATTTTGTATTCATTGCTTATTATTTGTTGACTGGAAATTTTTGAATATTTTCAGAATTCGAAGTTATTCTGTCGGAAAATGTGATAAATTTTTTGGGAGTAAAATTGTTGGGAGAAATGTCATAGTGAGTGATTGGAACAGGGTACCTCCATCGACCTATCCTTGATAGCCATGCATGAGTTAGGAAAGCAGGATAAGCTTGTTGAGATCATATGTCTTGCCACATGCTTCTTTTAAACCCTCCATGATAAATAAATAAATATGCTCTTTTCGAAATTGTTCCTCATTTGCATATTCCTTTTGATTATTGTTGTTATTATGTTTTAGTTTTTAGTTTTGGATGAAGCAGATAGAGTTTTGGATGTTGGCTTTGAGGAGGAACTAAGGGTGGTTTTCCAATGCTTGCCAAAAAATCGGCAAACTTTGTTATTTTCTGCAACAATGACCAGTGACCTGCAAACACTGCTTGAGCTTTCTGCCAACAAGGCATACTTCTATGAGGCTTATGAAGGCTTCAGGACAGTTGAAACACTTAAGGAACAGGATATTTTCATCCCAAAAACTGTGAAGGATGCTTATCTTGTGCACATTTTGTCTAAAATGGATGATATGAAAATCCGCTCGGGCTTTATATTTGTCTCAAGATGCAGGTATCAAACCTTTGGAGTCATGCTCTAACCCTTTTTTTTTTATTATTATTTAATTTATTTTTAGAATCAGTTTTTTTTTTCCTTTTTTCTCATCGTGCTAATAGCTGCTATTTTGGTTCAAGTTGAGAATCACATTCCAACTAGTAGATGTTACATTAGTTCTGTTCCTTTTTGTCATTATTATCTTTGTCAGAAATTATTTGAAGTAAACATTTTCATTTGTCTATAATTTCCTGGGTCTTTGATCCTCCTACCCTTCCTCTTCCTCTCTCTTTCTTTTGATATAGTATGCAGTATCCTGTGAAAATTAATTTCAACCTGCTGTGAAAGTTTAAAATAAATAATAATTAGAGTAAAGCTAGATTTTCAGCTGTTTGGTTGTTAATGAATTCAGTTGGGCAAACTATATGCAGTGATTCTAAAGAACTTTAGAAGCATTGATAGATGTAATTAGGATGAGATATATTAAAGTTTACCATAGTAAGGCTCCTGGACACACCTTCCTCGTATTTTGAAATTACTGAAAAATTTTTTGTGCTAACTTGATGACATGGAAGTCTAAACAAAAATCAATGATTAACCAGAGCATAATAAGACTACACATGGCCCCGATAAGCCCCTGATCTAGGAATTACAAATTTAAAGAGTTTTATCAATGTTGTGTTTACATACCAATAGAAACTTTCTAACTTTGAGCTGTGTCGTGAATTCATGATCCTGCTCTGATGCAGAACGGGGGAGAGAAAATTATTCTCCCTCTAGTTAAATAAACTTGCTAACAAAGAATTAGATTTCTTCTAGCATGCATTACTGCTCTGATATTTTTAAAAATTTTTTAAAAAATTCAACATATTTTTTATATTAGAGGTATTAAATTTCAAATTTCATTTCAATATAGGGATTAAATTTTAAATTTTGTATAAATATAAAGATCATTTACATATATTAACAATTAATTTTGTCACGTCAAGTTAATATCATGTCAGCATGATCGGCAACCACTTCAGCATGGTCAACAGTTATGTAAGCTATTTACGGAGATCAAGTAATATTGTTATCAGTTATATCAACATTGTTAAATTAAAATTAGTATGAAATCTAATTTTAGCAAATTATTGTATAAGAATTAAAATTTAAATTTTATATAAGTACGTGGACTAATTGTAAAATTTGACCAAATAGAAAATGAAAACAAAAAGTATTTTTTACAACCTAAGGAAGTGCTTGATTTAGAAAATAAAGACATTTTCTATTTTCATTTTTTTGGAAAATGAAAAATATTAGGGAAAGTGTGTTTGGTAATTGAAAATGAAAATAAATTTTTAGAAAATAAAAATGAAAATGGGTTGAAATATGAATTTTTTTTTTAATTATGAAAACAAAGGATATTCATTACTTTTTTTTTATTTTTTGTTATCACACTTTTTAATGTTATTAATTAATTAATATATATTATATTTATAATTAGATTGTCATTAATAATAATATCATTGAATATTTTATTTATTTTCTCATTTTTACATTTCTAGAAAACAATGTTTATTTTCATTTACCAAATAAAATTTTAGAAAATAAAAATTATTTTTTAGAAAATAAAAATAAAAATAAAATTTTTTTTAAACCAATCAGAGCATAATATTTTCAATATTTTCTTTCATATGGTCAATATTATTTGGATCTAATTATGTAAATAATCCTTTTTGGGTTATTTAAAAAAATAAATTTTTAATTATTATTGATTAAAAAGTTTTTTAATGACATTGGTTAAAAAAATTTATGTGAAATAATAAATGATGTTTATTGATTTTTACTTATTTTATCCAATCAACTTACTAAATAAATAAAGTTATTGTTATGTCATAGAAGTCAAAAACCACATTAGTTAACTTAATGGAAGCTAACCGATAGAATTAAGAATTGAATTAATATTATCAAATTCAAAAGTATAAGGATTTTATTTTTATTAATTAACTAGATTTCAAACCCACACTTTGCTGCATGAGTAATTTAGAAGCATAAGAATACTGATAGTATGAGAAGAAAAACCAGTTGCCCAAAGAACTAAGCAAAATATAAATTATGTAATAGGAAACACAGCACCTCATACAAACAATCAATAGTTCACTTCAATAATCAATGTTTCATACATATAGATAACCGGCATAAACATGATATTCAAATGAAATATCCAAACCAAGAAGCATAGAGCAGTATTGCAGTAAATAAACTACATTCTACAATTACCAGCCAAGGTGCAAATGAAAAACCATCAACATCATGCAACATGCTATTTACTACAATTACCAGCCAATAAGCAGTAACAATATCCACTCACCGTATACAAAACCACAAATTTTACTTATCTTCAGGATAAGAAAGAATCCTTTGAACAACAATAAGCACGAAATACCTTGTACAATAGATTTGAGCATGTGGGCATAAGAACTTTGACACTTTTACAAAAGCTTCAAAAGGAGTTGGTGTAAGAGGAGCGTCACTTGGCCCTACATAAAAAAAAGGCAAACCAGGTGAAATATCACAATTGATCAGACAAGGATGCCTTGCTAACAACCTGAAATTTTATAGTCTAATCCTAAAAGGTCAAAATAGCAAAAGAATTCTGAAATCCTGAAGCTCAATCATGGTGTCCCATATCTTTCAAGTATAGCAAGACAATTAAAATAGTTGACCAATAAACCTTTAACGGTCAATGATATTGGGCTACAACTATCTGATTCCACATTTAATCAATTAACAAACACTAGCTCAAGGGCAAATTATAACTTACGAAAAATATAGCTGACATGTTACACAGAAAATTTATCAAAGTGGTGTGTGAAATCAAACCACAATAGTAAATGGTTAAAACACAAGCATCATGAGCATAAGCATGAATCTCTGTTGCCATGTTGCGAAGAGACTCATAATGTTTCATGTTCAATGGCTGTAGAAAGAATTACATTTTCATCAATGTATCAAGGTCATCATATAATGCTAACATGCAGCAATTAATACGCTAATGGTTGTGCAACAACATCTACTACTGGAAATACAACAAAGAATGTAAGACTTCTAACACATTTAAAACAAGTATAAAGATGCAAAGATGATTGACCTCACTGTACAGACCAAAAATAATAGAGTAAAGCTGATACCTCATGTCCCTTTTAGGATGTTAAGTCTCATTAACATGGCATATAACAGCTAATGTTCTGCCAACTGCAACAGATAATACCTCATCCCACAGATAAAAGCAGGCTTTCTTCCAATGAGTTTTTGTCCACAAGATCTCAATTTCTTTTGACAAGTAATCCTTTGTTGCATCATTACTATACCATAATTAGAAACCAATCCATCAACAAACCAATAAAACACAACTAAAAAAAATCCTAAAGAAAAGATCACACACTAGTTTGACAGCAACTTCATCTCCAATTTGCATATTTACCCCTTTTTAAAAAAAAAGCACAATGCTGACAAAGAAACAATACATTTTTCCATAAAAAAAGAAAAAGCTATAAAAGAACTCTGGATTATTATACCTAAATAAAGCTCTCCAAAAGAGCCTCACCAATCTTTTTTCCAAGCTTGAACAGCCAATTCCTTATGTTTCAATGTGAATTTAACATAAAATTAAAAAATGCTACTATTCTATATAAGTGAAAGGAAGGAAAGAGTAATACCTCTTTATCATCTGCTTTTTGCTCAGTTGAAGACTGTATTCTCTTGTTTTGTATCAAGGATAAAACTTGAAACTCATGCATTATAGAATTAATAAGCAAAAAACAATTATAAGGGAAAAAAACTGAAAAAAAAAGATTTTCCAAAAGAAATTACTACTAAGGGATCCAAAAGCAAGGTATGTTTTAGACACATATTCTAAACCTTAATTTATACATTTTATAAAATATATCTAGATAATCAATAATAACTAGCTTGGCTGATGGACCAACTAACTTTCATTTTTACTGCTTTCTTGATTGACTCTTCAACTGAAAGGTATGTCAGCAACTCCATTAGCCGATCCCTGTTTTGCAAAATTCGAGACCAATAATGAAAATAAAATGCATCAAATGCTTCAATGAATTGTAATTGGAATGAAACTAACAAATAATACTTGTCCTCTAATGGCAATTCTATAGGCATCTAGAGATGTTTGAAATTTACACTCTACCACACATTCCTATAATGAATTCTCTTTGAAAGAGCTTGCAGTGACACATGAATATTTAAACATCCAACAGTATTTAGAACATCAAGTTGTTAAGAGTATAATCACCAGTTATAAGAAAGAACTGATCTGAACAACAAGACTCATGCATGCCACGAAAACCTTTTACAACCAACAATCTATTCTGGAGGCACTAGATCTGGTCTCGGAGTTTTTTTTTTTTTTTTTTTTGGAGCATTTGTCTATTGATTATAGCGAGAAATCCAAATTGGGTTTCACTGTTTATCTTAAAAAATAAAAATGCATATTTTACATGCAGTGACAAAATAAATAAAAATCAGAAAATCAAAACCTATAAAATCAAACCCAAAAGAAAATTTTTCACCACAATCTTATACCTGATAAAAAGAAAATCTTGAGTAAACATTAGTCACAAACCCTAAGCAATCCACCATCTTTGCAAAGGAAGCAGTAATTTTTTGCTATTTCTTCCTTCTTCTTATTTTTCATCAAAGTTTAAAGCTACTATCTTTGGTTAGCAATCCATGAAAAAAACCATGTCCTTGAGCTTCAATTTTTTCTTTAAAACAAATCATTGAAAAAAACCCATTTTTTTGAAAAAAAAGAACAAAATAGTAACCTTCGTCTTTTAAAACTAACAATTACTATGCACTTTTGTTTGTTTCCTTCAGTGATTGGCCTAAAGATGGGAACATACCTACCAAAAACTTCAATATTTTTTTTTCAACAATGAAATCTTAAAGATCCAAGAGTTTCAATGCATGAAAGAGAGAGGGAAAGGGAAAGGGAAAGTTAACTCCCTCTCTCTCTTTCTCTCTATCTCTCTACTCCCTCCCTTAATCCCTCCATGCACTCTACTCACTCATCTTTCGTCTTCCTAAAACCCAAATTTGCCCTTCAATCATTTTTTTGAGACATAAATGACATGATTAGTAAATTTGAAAACTTTCAATCTTGAGACTACTTTAATATAATAGTATACATATTAAAATAAATAATCTTTTTTATTATCTAATAATCATTTCATAGATTAAAATTTTTTATATGGTAAATGTATTTCAAGTGAATCTTTCTCTTTGGTTAGGGTTAGAGAAAGTATATGAAACTTAAAGTTTCATATGGCTAGGCTTATGATCCCCTTACTATTCTAATAGAATAATATAAGTCATACCACAATCTACCAACAAAGAATAAACTTCAAGGCAATTAAATAAACATCATAGACACATAATCTTGCTTGCAATGGAATCGAGAGCTTCAAATGCTTTATGCCTAATCATTGGGTGTTCATTCACAATCCTAAATATATCGCTAAGTGTAGCTAAAGCAGCTTTATTTTGCTACTGACCCAAGTCATAAGCAACCTGTATTACAGTAAGGTAATAAATATAAAAATCAACATAAATCCCACAAACAAGAACAACAAGAGCTACTCTAAATCAAGATTCAATTAAGTGAGAAACTACAAATATCTACAACCTCTGAATTGAAAAGAACAAAATGCAGTCAAATGGTACCTAAAAATATAAATATCAAACCTAAAAACCTATGCTTCTTAAGAAAGATAAAAAATAAAAATTACCCATTAAAATCCATTTGAAGGGTACCCATGAAATCGTCATCGTTAGAAAAACTCAAAACAAATTCATACATAAACATAAATTGGTGAAATACATAAGTTATGTCTTTGATCTTGCAAGAATCTTGGCTTTAAACCCACATTTCTATCTTTAATCGAAATTTACACCTTGCAAGAAACAATGTTACTGTGCACATCTCACCTCCAGCAATCTGGGTCTCATCTCTTGACCATCTCTGCCTTTGCCCAACATTGCTAATCCTCGTAGGGTTAGAGGTGGAATCTTGTGAAATTTGGAGATATAATTTTTATAGAAACAAACATGAAACTAATACCAGAAAAAACCTATCACCACATACAAAGAAAAAACTTTCATCAACACATGCAAAGAAATCAATGTATGAAAATAAAAATAATTAACTGAAAAAACAAAACAGCACATACCCAAACAAAAATAATAAACGGAACACGCCATACCTTGCATGTAGAATAAAATAGGAATGAACATTTAGAACAAAGTTGCATGGAGATGGTGGCAGAGCAAAACGAACAGAAAAAGGAGACAAAGGCTAGCAGCGCCTAAGCTTCTTAGAGACAAAAGCCGATGGCGTCGACAGGATATCCTCAAGGAACGGTCTCTTGCTTCCGCACATTGCTGCAGACATCCTTTGCTAAATCAAAGAAAAACTCTCTTTCTAACTTTGTCAAACATTAATTTTCCCTCTCTCTCCTTCCCGTATCTCTAATTTAGAAAAAGAAAATTAGGGTTTTTAAGGGAGTTGAATTTTCTGTTTAGTTGATGAGAAATTGATGAATTCTTTTTCAGAGGGTTTACCTTTGGACTTAAGTTTTCTTATTTGTGTTCAAGAAGCTAGATTTAATTTGTCTTCAAGAAGCTTCTAGAAAGTGTTTAATTTCAAAATTACACAAGCATTTTTTTATGACATTGATGAGTTGTGAATCTCAAATAAGATGGGGACTGATATTAGATATTGTTATAGATTAGATTGACTAAAATAAATTTTCCAATTATTTAAGTCAAAACTACATATGAATATTTTGTTTATCAAATACTTTTTTGTTTCCTTGTGATTTTAAGTAATTCTAAAGATTTATTTGTGTAAAATGTTAAAGTTTTTAATTTAATAGAATCTGTAGAAAAACTCGTGTATCACTTTTTTTTCATATAAGTAGATTTGTAATTTTATTTTTATTACTTGAATAGTTTAAAAACCTTTTGGCATGAGTATAAAAAAATTTCTAAACTAAAATTAAATAATCATTCGAATCCTTATCATTTTATTATAATAAATTAAACCTTCCAACATTTTTTTCATCAACAAAAGATAAAAACATGATAGTAAAAAAATCTAGTTAAATTAATATCAATTAACAAAATGCACATAGCTCATGAATTTTTAAGAAAGTTTATATTTCATCTATAAATAACTAAAAACCCTAAAATTTTTTTGTTCAAAACATTTTTAATTAAATATAATCTACTTAATTATTACAAAATAAAAAAATTTTTTTAATCATCATTTAATTTTTTAGTATACATTAAAATTTATTGGGGCTTACATTTTATTAACTTGTTCCATTTATATATATATATATATATATATATATGTGAAATGTTTAGAGTAAGGGGACACTTTCTTAATTCAAGGTTAAGGTAAACTGCAAGTAAACATACATTGGATAATTTATAGATCATCCATCAAGGGATATTGTAGGTAGTGGGATTGATCCTAAATTTTATAAACAAAGTATTCAAATCTTACTCCTTTAAAAAAAAATTAAGACCTTACTAATTCAACCATTTCTCATTGACCAAAACATTTTTTTAATATCATAAATAATTATTTTCTAATTCACTTGAAATAAAAATGTTTAATAATATTACCAAAGCATAACTAACAAGGGTAAACACTTGTGTCAAAATCTTTTTCAGTTTGTGAAAAGTAATTTTTGGTTTCTCAATTAAATCAAACCATGCCAGTTTTTGGACATAACCCAAATGATCATAAAGGCAAAATGATGGTTCATTTAGATGTTTGGGTGGGAGCACTTTCTTCATTTTTTTTTTATTAACTTATAATTTAGGTCAAAATATACTATAGGTTTCTGTATTTTACAAAAATTTAGAATTTAATCCCTATATTATAATTTATAAAAATTTAGTCCTCATACTATTTTAATTTGATAATTTTAGTTCAATCATTAATTTTGTCAACTTTTTACTATTAAAAATGCTTATGTGACCATTAATTTTATTGATGTGACATTGATTTATTGACATGGCATTGACTTGCTAACGTGACAATTAAGATCGATAAAATCAATTATTAAATTATACAAATGTTCATTGTACTTATACAAAACTCGAAATTTAGTCTTTACACTCACATGAATTTTGATATTTAATTCCTATACTCACAAAATTTAAAATTTAATCCTTATAATACAATTTTTTTTTAATTTTATAAATTTTCTAGTTTTTTAAAATATTAAAATTTAAAAATTGACACAATATTCTCTTATAATATTTTATCACAATATTAACAAATCTATCACAATATTCTATCATAATTTTCATATATTGTCACTAAATTTATTATAATTTTTTCTCACTCATGTAAAATACTATCACTAGTTCTGCAATTATTTCATGTTACATTCCTTCATAAAATATAAATTTTTTACTAATTTTGTTACACTTTTTGTGATAATTATATTATATTGTGGTTATATGAAAAAAATTTTATACTAATCTATTAAAAATCTATCACAAATTTTTTCATATATTATACAAATCTGTCACTATCTAATTTTAGTAAGTTATTATTTTTTATTAATTTATTAAATAAATTATAATTATAATTATATCTCATAAAGGTAAAATTATTCATTAAATAGTATTTCTATTCCTTTAAATTAAACCCTATTTAAATGTTTTTTTTATAATAAAGTCTAGGTTAAAACTTCTAAATAAATTAAAGTAATTTACTAAACTAATTAAAATAATATTAACTTTGATATATTAATTTAAAGTATTAATATTAGAATTGATTAATAAAAATGATAATAATAATATTATTAATATGATATTATTAATAATTAATTATATAAAATAAAAACTAATATATTTCAAAAAATATTTTTATATTAAACAAACTAAAATATTTTTAAATTTTAAAATTAAAAAAAAACTAAAAAAATTTGAAATATTTTTATATTAGGACTAAATTTTAAATCTCGTACGAGTAAAAAGACTAAATTTTAAATTTTGTGTAAGTATAGAAATTAAATTTCAAATTTCATATTTGTAGAATGACCATTTATATAATTTAACAATTGATTTCATTTGTTAAGTTATCACGTCAGCAAATCAATATCACGTCAGTAAAGTTAATAACTCTGTCAATATTTTTAACGATAAAAATTTGACAAAGTTAGTAATTGGATTAAAATTATCAAATTAAAATAGTATGAGAACTAAATTTTTATAAATTATAATATAGAAACTAAATTTCAAAATTTCGTAAAGTACAGAGACCTTTGGCATATTTTAACCTATAATTTATAGTAAAAATATTTTTTTATTAATGTAAGTTAAAAATAAATAATATTCAAATATTTAATTTAATAATTAATACATGTATCTTTTATTTAAAAATTTTAGTTCAGATTTTATTCTCAAATAAAAAATGTAAGATTCTAAAACATTTTTTTAAAAAATATTGATAAAGTTTATATTTGATGAGTTAAAATCATTTCAAATTATAAATATTTAAAAGATATCTTAAAATTTAAAAGGGTAAACATGTTAAGGTTTTTTCTTTTATTGAAGCAAATTATCAAAGTTTGAAACCATTTTTTCTTATCCAAAGCCAAAAATCTAAATAAATTTTTTTTTTTCAAAATGTCCAAAATCTCACCGTTAAAATCAACTAAGTGACAATTTCAGATTTAGTTAAATGTCAATCTCACATGAAAAACCTTTTGGTTTCAATAAATTATTATAAATTTTCAATCAGGTAGCTACTCCCATACATACGTGTTATAATGCAACTTTTTCAATAATGTTATTCTCTCATCTAAACATTTGGTATAATCTCTGAAACAAAATCATGTCTCTTTTATAACTCTTTCATACTTTTAATTTTATTCTACATATAAAATAAAAAATTTGATATACGTTATCAAAACCATAAAATTAATAAAAAAGATTTAAAATAATCTAACAAACATGAGAAACCACCAAAGAAGTAATATGAATATAATATTCTCAACATTTTCTTCCATAAAGTCAATATTCTTTGGATCTAATTATATAATTAATCTTTTTATTTACAAGAAATTTAAACCTTAGTCTTTTTATATCATTCATAAAAATCTAATCATTTATAAAAAATATTGTTCAATAACTTCACCTTAAACTGTAATGCGAAGTGACAAATAAATAGTTTCTGGTGATTGAGATAATATAGCAAGATGGGTGCGACCAACTCTTCCTACAGTTTCACCATGTCCGTGGAACATTTTTAGCTTCACACTAAAGAACTCAACATTTATAAGCTCTTCCTGAGCTTTCTATAACTATTAAGTAACAGAAAGACGCCCAACATCTTTAACTGAATTTGAATATCCAATCATAACTTCTTGTTTACCATTAATCCGATTTTTGTATCAATCTTTGTTATGTTTCAGTTCTTGATATGTAGTTCTAGATTTTTACCATTTTTTTTTTTGTTTCAAATGTTAATGTGTTTGTCGAAAAATCATAGAAGAGCATAATTTTAAAAGGCTTAGGAGTTTGAAAGATGATGGTAAGGATTTTGTTAATATGATGCTTGATTTAGAGAAACATGAGAAACTCAATGATTTTGATATGATTACTGAATTTGTATTTGATATGAATTATTTGATCGGATTTGATTTAAGTTGATTTTGGATCTTTAAATGAGCTAATTAATGGGTTTTTTATAAGTTATAAATGATTCTCTTAAATGATTTATGTAATGATTTTATATTAATGATTTCGGTTTATGTTGTTAATCATGTTAAAATTATTTCAAAATAAAATTTGATGTCTACACTCTTAAAATTTTCATCAAGTTCAACGATCAAATTTTCGAACAAAAAACCGACAATAGTTTTACTAAACTTTTCCAGGTCTCTAAATCCAATTCCACCCCTTGTTTTGGCCAAGCAAAGTGTTTTCCACATGAGCCAGTGCACCCCCCTCCTTGATTTATTCCGCCACCAGTAGTTGCTCATGAAGCTAGTTAGCTCCTGGCATACTGTTTTCGGTAAAGAAAGCAATTCATATATGATGGAATTGCAAGCAGCACCGCCTTAATAAATATTTCTTCCCTGCCATTGATAAAAGCCTTCCACTCCAGTGCTGAATCCAAGTCTAGATTTTTTTCTTTGATGTTTCTTAAAGCTTTTTTCTTTCTCCTTCCCACTAAGGTTGGTAGTCTCAGGTATTGCTCTAGACTATTTGTGGCATAGATTCCAAACAATTGCTGCAGTTCATCTCTCTGTCTCCTTGTAGTGTTGTGACTAAAAAAGAGGGCAGACTTTCCAAAGTTGATTTTCTGACCCGAGCTGTCTTCATATAACGTTAGCACGTTCTTTACCTTCTTGCCATCACTCCTGCTTGCTCTAGCAAACATTAAGCTATCATCAACCAAAAAAAGATAATTAACTCTGGGTCCAGTTCTGCTTACCCTCACCCCTTTGATTTCATCTGAGCTCTAGATAATAAGGCCGACAAGGCCTCTGTACAAAACAAAAATAAATATGGTGATAGAAGATCTCTTTGCCAAAGTCTTCTGCCTGGATAAAAACTATCAGTCACTTTCCCATTAATTATAATAGAGTATGACACAGCGTACACACTCCATAACATTCGAAATACCCCATCTTGGCCATGATATCCTCAATAAAGGACCATTCCATCC